GCGAAAACCTATATACAGAGAGAACACGGCTAGTCCATTTCCTCTGTCTTTCGTTCGACCCATTAATCGAGGAAATCGGGAAGAGTATCTAAAAATGGCGACGCTGGGAGCGGAAGATGTCTCCGATCAAGTGTAAAAATGGTGTAGATGGTGCAAAGGTCTAAAGATGGCACATCTAACCCACTTCCTGTATCTCTCTCGTTGTTCACGGAACAAATCGAACGAAATAACTAAAAATTTGGCCGCGTAGAGGAATGCGACAGACGTTACCGATGAAACTCGAAGATGGGGTAAAGATGGCGCGCATCTGGAGCGGACCGAGCGCTCGTTAGACGACGAAACGGAAAACGTTAAGGAAAATCGAGGAAAAAGAGACGGCTTTATACTCGAGTGACTTAGACCGCGAACAATAACGACGGTATTAACGCATACACCTTTCTTGCTAGCTATGAAATCGTTCGAACGTAAAGCATCGCGTACTCCAGACGGTTAACCCGATCGATTGTGATCGAGGATTTTACGACACCGCGAAATATCCCCGGGATAACGGCATTATCCGGGCCGATCGGACGGAAGGCTTTCGATCGACCGATAAATACGACCGAATCGAGCGTTCCCGAATCCAGTACTCGGCCGCGAGGACGATGATACCTTTCCTCGGGACATTATTAAGGTCGCAGTTTGAATCCGCGCAGGACTATAAATTATGGAAGTCCTAAATCACGGATTATTTATACCAGCCACTTGGCCCGTGCACAAATCGATAGGAAGGCTTCACCGGCAGAAGGGAAACGGGATCGTGATCTGGCGGAAAAAGAGCCGGCGAGCGGACGCTGCGACGACGCTAGGGCGACGCTAAAGCGTTCGGTAAAGTGTGCAATCGTCGAACGGGAACGCAATCGCGCGACAAACGCTTTAATATTAAGAATGAGTCATACGCCTTCGACAGGCATCGTTCTAAATGCAACCGAACCGGCACGGTATAAGCTAGCGCGAACTTATCAAGAGATAATGTCGCTAAATCGTTACTAGCGCCGTTATGGTCGCTCGTAAATTAACATCGTCTCCCGTAATTACGCGGGAACACGCGCGTTACCGGCTACGATTAATAACAACCTCGCGACTTTATATTTTTCATTGCTCAAATATCTGCATAAAATATCCGTTGCGATCGGTAATAGCGTAATTGTCAGACCCGTTAGATCGTTGCACAGATTCGTAAATCGACTCCAATTTCGAGCACATACGTTTCTCCTATCGTTCCTTTCGGAAAATCCCTTCGAGAAGAATCGAAGGGTTTCGAGGAGATCGTGAAACGGCATAATTACCATAGGTGGGCACGTAGAGAACGTACGAAGGTTAATATTCGATTTTCCCAAACGAGATGTATAATCGATTATGCTCGCCGTTGCAGATGAAAATGTACAGAGCCACGTATAACGAGGAACGATTGGTTTTGAGATATTTAAACGGAAATATCGGCGAATCGCATTAGCGAGCTTACTTTCCCAATGAATGTCCATAATTTTTTCAAATAACACAGAACAACCAACAAAGTTAATCGTAATGCTATTTTGCATACTTTATCCAGGCATTTGCGAACTGCATAAAACATCGAATGTAATGAATAGGATTAAATGTTCGATTCGTCGAAGACACTGCCTTCATTGTCGATACTTCCCGGCAAGTATCTCGTAAGCCAGTAATTTTCTCACATAAGTGACCTAGTACTTCATTTTTTAAACGACGAGCTGAATCGATCGATGCAATGAAAATCACGCGACTTCGTTTAAAGAAACGAGGTTAACGTTTAATACAGATTCACGAAACTGAAGGCAGAAATTTGTTTTAGATATACAAGATCAAACGTCGATCAAATTTTTGGCAAGAGAACTTTAAAAAATTACACGTTAACGATCTACGCGTTTTCATCAGTGCTCTCTCGCGGCCATTTTATCCCTATATTCGAAACTATATTTATGCAACTAACGGTATAATTTACTGGTATAATTGAAGATAAAAATATTTATATTCGTATTTTCCCGCGCTACCAGCCGATCGATCGGGGGAGAAAGAGGAAAGAAGCAATGGTGGAGAGGGAATTAAATAACGGCAGGGAAACGTGCAAATGATTTTTCAAAGGGACGAACGACTCGGAACCGGAATCCTCGAACAGTAATAACCGCAACAAGAGAGCGGTGCGAGCGTTCGAGTACAAGGCAAGGGACTTTAAGGAATCATCGAGGCAGAAGAACTAAATGGGGATTCACACGCGGCTGATCTTTCGGGGATGAATCACGGGATGAGGCTAAAATTTTTCAGCCCCGACGCGACACGCTCGCGCGCCCAGCGCAGCGTGCCTCGAAATTACGATTTTTCGACGAAGAGACCCGTTAAGAGGTTAACGAGAAACCCATCGCGACGAGCCTCCATGGAGAAATAATACCCTCGAATAGGCTGTCGTTGCTAATTCGTATCGTTGACAAAGGAACGTTTGCTCTAAGCATTCTTGTCTATTCGCGACGTCGACGATTCTCCATGCGATCGCAGGACTTCGACATTTCACGCGATTATACGACCTTCTTGAATTACGCTTTGCAGCGAAACCTTGAAACGCGTGATCTGTTTTCTTTTTTCTCTTTTCCCTTGCAAGAAAATCCCCCGGCAGACAGTCCTCGAACACTTGAAATTCACCTTGGGAGACAAGGCTTCTAACTGACGGTAAGAGTCGCAGAGTATATCCCGTGAGAAGTCATAGTTGGGATAGCGGTATGTACGTAAAGGCGACTTACCATGGGTTCGCGAGATAGGTAGCGATCTCTGGAGTTATCACATCGAAGCAACGCGCTATGGTTTAAACGACGGAATCTTAATTCCGGAACACCGAACAACTGTGCGCGATATGGCCGATAAGGCCAGCACGAGAGACCACTCGCAGCCGGGTAATAATTCAGCTGATAGCGCGTAAACACGTCCTAATGCAACACGGAGAAGGCGGTATTTGTCGGAGACACTGAAAGTGATTTCCGAAAGACAACAGGGAAGGAGTCACGGAAGCCTCCCTTTGTCCGCGCCCCCTAAACGCGTAATACCCTCTTTGAAGCTCTGACAAGCGTATACTTTGATGACACAGACCCCCGCCCTTTTGCAATATTTACACGGTTCATACTGTCTCGGGTTTCTAGGTGCGAACCGCGTCTTTTCCAAATAGAAAACAAACTTTCGCATAGTTGCTCCTTCTATCGTCGAAAATTCGAATCGAACGACCGTACCGAAACGTAATCGAAGAGAGGTTCGTCTATCTAGATTACATCTTTACCTATGGTCCAAATATATACGAATACGTATATATAAAAATAATGCAATTAAAGAGTATTACGTGTTTCGCGTAGTAATTATGTATACTTGTATTTTCTTTGTTTAATTTATATCACGAAACTAGCAAAAAAATAAAATTCACGGGAAAAAATTAAACGCGTTTCTTTTTCGATAAGTTTGCCCATCTAGATCGTTCAAATCGACCATACTGTGTGCTCATCGACTCGAGGCTCCATCTGGAATTTATAGACAAAAGAAGAAAATTATAGGATAGTCCTGGATAACAAATCGACGTTTCGACAGCACGCCGCATTACCGGCCCGACTGCAAAATTTCACGCGAATTTCCCCAATTTCTGTAGTTCTAGTTCCTTCTGTAGTTGTATAGGAAGACAACTTAGAGATTATGCCCAGCGTGGCCCCTTTGAGGACACGAACCTTTATGCCGTCCGCGCCAAGAGTGTTTCCATTATGGCAGAGGATATTCGATTGGCACGTAGAATTCGTGGAACGCTTCGCTCCATCCCTCCTCTTTTTAACGACGATCCTTTCCCCAAAGAGAACACGCGACTCGTGCCTCTCGCCGTGCGATACTAACCGCACGAAATCTTACGTCTATCCGTTATAGCGCAACGCGAGAACTACGATGATAGCTCTCGGCAAAACGCGAACGAAACGAAAAATAGGGAGCAAGAAGTTTATACAAGTTGTTGGACGAAGTTGCAAACATCGCGACGCACTGTTGGTCGACGCGAGCTTATACATAAAACATTTGTACCTGGTAAAATTCAATGTTTATCGAGGGAGCTCGTTTAACCCGAGTCACGTGGATGGACAACAAACGAGTGGACGCGTCGATTGTTTAAAATTCGCAGTCAAGGAACTGGATATTTTTAAATACCGCACGACGATGTACGCGCGAGATCGCTAATTGACACGTTAGAACCGTTTAAGATCGGTTTGCGGAATACATGAACACGAGTACGTAGTAAAAGTGCCAGGGAGGCCATGGCTGACATAAACATCTCTATATTCGGCGCACTCCCTCTTAGCATAGATAAAAGATATAAATTTATCGCGGCAGAATTACGTCACGCATAAGACCCGAACTTTAACGATAACCGCATTGCAAGCGATGCGTTCGAAACGCTGAAATTCAACGTCATTGTTCTTAATTTACGCGGCGTGGCCATCCTCGTGGCGTTGGCAATTTTTCGAAAAGTTACAGCGAATGCGATATATCGCGGGCGACAATAGAACACGAACGGAATGTAAAATCTCGCAAACGAAATCAGCTGAAACGAATTCCATTAAGATCGATCGGAATGAAACGCGTTGTTTGAAACGGTTCCGTTCCGTTCCCGCAACGCGAACCGCTGTGAAAAAGGTTAGGAAGGTTTCCCCCTGCTTACATACGAACGCCAGCATACGGGGTGTTCTTTTGCGTGGGCTCCATTTTGTTCGATATACCATCGAAGAAGCCACTTTCAGGCGCGAGTATCATCGTCGACGAAGACGTTTTAACACGACGATGTGTATACATGTAAAAAGAGAGCACGGACGGTAAAGATCGTGCACCGGATCGTATTCGAAAGGTTTCGAGAGACGAACGCGAAAATACGCAAAGAAACAGCAACGCGTAGAGTTGGAAAGGTTAGAAAGAGAAAAAAAGAATCAACTTACCAAGTCGAAGTTCCCCGAAGTTGCCAGAACCTATTTTCTTGCCGACACGGAAGTTGGGACCGACCGTGAGCGCATTAGAGGAGGTGACACTATACCTGGAGGAATACGGGTTGGGTTTGGCAACACTACTGCTACCACGGAAGGTCTTCTTGGTCGTTTCCTGATCGCGTTCCGAGCTACGCGCGAGCTGTAGCTGTGCGTCTCTAACGTCTTTTTTATGCATGGTGCGAGTGTCCTCTGCCGTGACAGAGTAATCCGCGACAGTCTGTTTAACGTGACAGAAAGGGTCGATTTTACGATAAAAAATTCCCGATATTAGTCCCGGGTCGAATTAATTATGTAAACGATGCACGACGTTTTTTAATCGAGGATCGATCCCCATTCTTGACATATTTTCTTCTTTGCTCTTCCCTTGGATGGCCGCCGATGGAAAATAATACTCCAGCGGCTTCCTGGGAGGATACACACATGCACGCACACACACGCACACACCGTACACGGCGAGTCGCAGGTGTCACGGTTCGTCGGTCGATGCCTTCAGGGGATCAATCCCCATGCTATCCTAACCTCGAAGCGAATTTCAGGAAATGTTTACACTTAAAGACGGAATGAAGAGGGCAGATGAGAACACGCGCGAAACACACACAGCTCTATCTCTCTTTTTTTCCTTCTTCTATCTCTTTCTAAGCGGCTAGTGGTTATCACAAACGGGAGCGAGTGTTCGTCGTGTCGTGGACCCTGGACGATTCCATACCAATTTCGACTTGTCTCTCTCGCCCGGCCGGCCGGGAGGAATAGTCAACGATAAATATCGCGTTTCAGTCAATACGGCGTGCATCGCCGTGACTGTTCTGTCGCACGGGAATACACTCGGAAACCTCCTCCATTACAAACGGCCCCGCCGCGTGCGATCGTGATCGTACTCAATCGTGCCCCGATAGTACCGCGGACTCACCACCACAGACTCGAATCTGCGGTTAGATTTGGGAGCGCCGCCGAAGCGGCTCTGAACTCTTTCCAGTGACACGCACACTAGCACATGCACTTTGCGAGCTTCGTATGTTCTTTCTTGTCGAAGGAAAATCCGCAGTCGTGTCACCAGTATGCCCGATCGGCTATTATATGCCCACACACAAGCCCGTATTAACTGCAGTCCCTCCGCAGTCCCCGTTTTCCAGCCCTTCCAAAATTTTTATTTCGGAACTGGTTATACGGATTCGGTTATCCCTAGATGTACTGTCCACTGATTGCGCGCACGCTATTTCAAAGACCTGTCGAACGCGGACAAACAATCACGGACAAGCTTACGCTCCTGTCTCTCGCGCTCGACTCGACATGGGTGAGATTTGTTACGAGGCTGACAGTGTTGGCAACCTGAAACGAAATAAGGCCGCGTTCCCAACACGCTTTATCGATGCTGACGCCCTCCTTTCCTATTTATTCTTATGTGCCAATATTTTTTTTTGCATTTCTCTTTAGATTTTTCAACACTTTTCCGATAGCTTTCGCTATTTTTATAGTACATATATACGTATATTTTTAGGATACTAATAAAACAGCTTAAACGTAATTTCTTAATTAGTATTAAAATTTGTTACCAGGCCAATATGAACAACTAATTATGTCCCGGTATTTATTTAGTGACAATAAATATGGCGTTTATTTGAATTTTCAAATAGAATTAAGAGGGATTTCACAAACCCAATATTATATTTATAGAAATTCCGATATGATTCATTTTATATATGTATATACTTAATGATCCTATACGATTTGTATACGATTTATAAAACTGATACTTGACAATTTAAGTAAAAATACTATATCGTTAAATACCTACGTATCCATAGTAACTGATTTAAATTTTACGGATTTCTTTAATATCCGTTAAATATTTGCTGAATTTATATTAATTATTTTTATGTATTATATTACGATGCAATGGAAGAATTAACGAATTCCGATGTTAGAATTGTATTAAATGTAAAAGAAGGTAAATCTTGACTACTTGTTAACCCTTTATTTATAATAAATTATTGACTACTTGTTAACCTTTTATTTATAATATTTTCTCTTTATGCAAAATAGTGTAACATAAAATAAAAAAAAAAAGTAATAATTACTTGTTATGTTTGCTACCCAAGAATGATTTGCAGTAGATGGAATTCTGCTACCTTGTTTTCTATATATGTTCATAAATATTAATAAATATGCTTCTAAATATCAATTTTGATTTAATTTGAATAATTATGTAATTAAATCTATGTCTATTCTTTTAAAAAATTAAGGAAGTCTAATGTTGCGTGTTGATAACTTTAGGCAAAGGCTTTGAGCAAATTCTATTACCTACGATAATTGTTGCAACCTTGAATGGACATTCTTTAGAAACTGAAGTAATAGAACCAAGTCCAAATCCTGAATATGATCATGACTTGGTTTGGGAAGTAGATAAAAATAGACTACGCAAGTTTGTATCATATATGATATTTATTACAAGACAGCATTTATTATTTTAATTATTATTTAATTTTGTAGGATGAGATCAGGCCAAGTGCCATTAAAATTAGAATGTTTTACTGTTAAGAGCAATGATAGCAAGGAAAAACTAGGGTATCTTTTACTTAGTTTAAGGTCTGCCCAAGTTTCTACTAGAAATAATATTAATAATGTAAAAGCTAATTGGCATAAGTTATTAGGATTGAAAAATGAATTCAAAATACATAAACCTGAGTTACTTCTTACTTTAAGTATTCATGATGTAGAAGTTACAACGTTCAGTGCTCAATTAGAGGTAGGTAATTTATTGCTTATGGATATTTAGTTAACTGTTCAATAATATATGTTATTATAACATATAAAATTACAGTTGAAGAATTTGGCAGAATGTCAACATGCAACTGTTCAATCTAATAAAATAACTCCAATTTTGCTCCGCGATGAACGTCTTATACAATTAGGCCCATTAAATATTTGTTATGAATTATTTTTAATGAGTATCACTGCTATATCTGCAACACATATTGATTCATTACTACCAATAAAGTATAATACGGATATGAAAAACGATTTGCAGTTCTGGTGTAAAATCTTAGAGAATGATGTATACTTTAATCAGTCAAAAAAAGAATATGGAGATTATTGGATACTCAATGAAAAAATTGTAATAAGGATCAGAAGTTCGTTAAAAATTTTCAAAGAATATCTACAATTGAAACCATTTTTGCTCATATATTTGAAATACAAAAATAGTATATTAGGCCAATCAAAAGTAAATTTGCAACCATTAATCCCAACTGATAACATTGAAGAATATCTTAAAATCACTGAAAACACTAGTATTATTTTAAATCAACGATGTTATCTATATAAAACAGATCTCATAGAAAATAATGAAATAGATTGTAGAAATTCATACCTTGATTTACAGCTAAAATTACAATATGTAGGTAAAACAAATGTAACAATGAATCCTTCTAATGCAATTATCAGTGATTTAATCACTCTTAACTCTACTAAGGAATTAAAAACTAACTTTAAAGAAGTAGTAAGCTTTTCATGGAATAAACCATATGATTATAGCATATAAAATTAATGTTCACTATTTTTAATTGTAATTTCCAGAATTATAGTGAAATAAATAATCATAGAAATCCTGCTGGAGATTTTGGAAATAAACATACTTTAAATTGTGATACTGTTAAAGATCAATTTAATGATGCTATTTGCTCACATTCAGTTGATACATGGGTATATCAATCTAATATTAATGATTACTCTAAAAATGTAGATACATATCATTGTTATTATTTAAATATTCTATTGATAGCAATTAAAGCAATATCTTCAAAATTGACAGTACCAAATATGGAAATACGGTATTTATTAATTTAATAGTTGTAACTAGTTCTTTATATCATTGAGATTATTTCAATTATATACACCTCTCTTCTCAAATCTAGGTTCCATCACCCAAAAACTGAGATTACATCAACATTTCATCCAAAAGTACCACTTTCATTAGGAGAAAAAGTGAAATTACAAAATGTAGGATGCAAATTACAATTTATATCAGCAATAAACGAAATCAGACAGTTATTGTTATCATTTCCACTAAAAATTAGCATATACAAAGTTGAAGGAAGTACCAAGACTTGTATATCAGAAAGTAAAATTGACACAAAGGAATTATTTTGTCAAAATAAGGTAATATACCATATTAAAAAGTATAATGTTTTACACTTGCATGTACTTATTAAAATTTAATAAATAAATCTCAGACTGAATACCAATGTGATATACCTCTGTATGATATGGAACAAAATAGTATTGGTAGTTTATATGCTATATTAAATTTAGAAGATCATGGGCCATACTATAGAATTAAAAGAATTACACCTAGTAAGTTTTTAACATGAATCATGAATTAAGTTTTTTTACTTATTTATTTAATGTAAGTAAGAGAGAGTACAAAACATGTTTTTAAATTAGGTGAAAATTTGGGTCCACCAATCTTAGATGATAGTTTAGCATACAAAATAGTGGATGAGTTAGAGACTTGGAAAGAACGACAGATGGAAATATTTAAAGTCGAGGTAAAGACATATCTAAATGTAAAAAAAGTGATATTACAACTACTATAAGTATATTATATCATTTTTCTCAATAATTTAGTTAAAAAAGAAAGAAGATCGCCATTTAAATTTACTAAGCCAAGAATGGCAAAAGCATAGAGAAAATTTAGAAACAAAACTTGCATGTAGCGTCGAACAGTGTAAAATGTTAGCAAACAGTTTAAATAATGCTACAGAAGATTTAAGAACACGAAGATTGAAAAGCCTTGAAAAAGAAACTAGACTAATTAAAGCAAATGAAGATTTACAGTGGAGGTATGAAACAAAATTACGGGAACTTAAAGAATCATTTCAGACAGTTCAGGAAGAACTTATGACAAAGGTTGGTAAAAGAACTTATTTCCTATAGTCTATATTAAATTATACATAATTAATGTATTATAGATTAATACCCTTGAAAAGAGAAAAACAACTTTAGAAACACAAATTGAAAAATTAACTACTGAAAATGAAAAATTACAATTGCTTGTATCACAACAAACTGAAGAATTGGAAACTTATCAAAAAGGCTCATTAACACAAGATCAAACGGCAAATTTATTGCAAGAATTAAAAACACTTGAAGAAAAATTGCAAAATGCACAAGAAAGTAAATCTTTTTTTAAAGAACAATGGGCAAAAGCAGTTCGTGAAATTCATCACATAAAAATGGAACATCAACAAGCAATACAAGTTCAAATTAAAAATAGTAAAGAAGAATTGCAAAACTTAGAGTATGTGCTGCTTATAAGTATCATATATTAAAAATTAATACAACTAACAAAAATTTCTTATATTTTTTTGTCTTTCTATATAGTCTAGAAGAGATACTGTGTGCAGATTCTACTGCTTTGACAAATGACAAAATATTACTAAATGAAATTCAAAAAGAAATTGATGTAATTAAGCCAAAAGCATATTTTATTGAGAAAGATACTTATTCTCAAGTATATACACCAAGTTCTATGGGTTCTAAAATCTCGCAAAATGTTAATAGAGGTATATTAAAGAGATCGGAAAAAAAAATCGGAAGAACAGGATGAACGATTACAAGCGCTACTCGAGGAACGTGATTCCCTCTTAAAAACAGGGAGTTACACAATTGATGACACAGTTATTATGAAATTAAATAATGAGATCAGATCTTTAATGATGAAATGATTTTTTATATGAACTATATTCTAAAATATTTCAATATGATACTATAATATAAAATACTTTACAATGCTTTTTTACATCATATATATATATATATTTTCATTGAAATAAATATATTTTGTTTTATTGTATTTTTATCTAATTATGTTTTTTATGTCAGATTTAAAATAATCATTTTCATACTAGGTTAAGAAATTTCGTACTAAATAAATAAATTATAATGCAAGTAACGTAAAAAAAGGCTTTACTTTAAATCTTACATTTCAACTTATTTATGCTACAAAATTGTCAGATTAAAGAAAATCTTTTTGATTGAAAATCTATCGCTTCGACGAGACCTTTACCAAGAATATAAAAGTCTTGAATCATTGCCGAAAAGTTTAAGACTAACTGATTATTTTCATTACATTTTCGACCACTGATATTTGATACCTTAAAATCCTTGATTTCTAATGCAGAAGGTTTCAATAATACTCCAATTAGTGTACCACCGTAAGTATCATGGAAAAACAGGGCAAATTCGTCATAACCATTCTAAAAAAAAAAATATCAATAATTTATCAAAAACATAAAAATATATGCTAAGTACTAATATTATATGAAATGTCACTTGAACTTACTCTAAGATCTCTTAGGAAATATTGCACAGGATCAAAATCCACAATTGGTATCTTTTGTGCTGAATGATGTTTATATGGATACAATTCAACAATTGGATGTGCATCACTAACATCAACTGCCTGTAGAATTTTAGGAACCATAGATGATTTCAAGTATATTAAACAATCATATTCTGTGAGTGGTGGTCTAAATAAAGGTTTGAAATCTAATAGAACTTTTGTAAAAAGCTGACTTTCATATAATTTCAAAGATTGTCTAGCCAATGCTGTAATACGATTTAAAATAAGAATAGATGGTGCTTTTCTTGTCCATAATGATCTTTGTTGATCATAAGGAGTAGAGATAAATAAAGGTGGCAAAGAATCACGAGATGATCCAAAAAGTGTTTCCACAGCAATTATTTCTTCCCCTAGAATTAAATATTATATTGCAGAATATAATTATATTATGGAAACTGTATATTGACAGCTCTTAATAATAAAATAACAGATGATAAGGAAGTAAATAATTACTAGACATTTCATTATTGAAATTTACGATGACAGGATCTGTATTCCAATGACCCTTTGCAAACATTTCTAAAAGTCTCAAGAATGTTACTTGAGGCATTTGAGAAGGTTTATACGATGTAGGTGTTAAATACATTGAAGCTACAAGTAGTTCAACCACTATATCTGGTATATGAAAATCATCTAAGAGCTGAGCAGATAACCAACGTTTTGCTAAACAACAAGCAGGGCCAAAGGATGGTTGTTGAGTATGTAATCTACAATGTAAATAGAGTCATGTTTTAATCTTAAGTTACAGTACAATAATTTTTTAAATAAATCGATCTTACCCATGTAAAGCACTAGTTAGCTTCGGTAGTTCAAATAACTTATTTTCTAACTCAATTGATTCTTCATTATCTTTGTATTGTATTATTCCATCCCTAGTTATTCGTTGTTTCAAAAAAGTAATTTCTTTTTGATGCGATATTCTTAACCGAAATACAAATCCATCCTGATAAAAAATTTTAACGAATTATCTATATTAAATAATATTTTTATCAATGAATATGAAACATTATTTGAAAATAATAACCTTATATACATCGATATATGAAAAGTTTGCATTTGCTTTCAACATACATTGTTTCCTAAGGCATTCTGCAATTTGTATGTGAAAAGCCGCTTTTGTTTTTCTAAAAGCTTCCAAATCATCTGGCCATTTTCCACTAGTTGATAATTGCAAACTTACTTCATGTGCTCTAACATACATAGGTATTGGAATAACATTTTTTAATAATATCAAACAATTTTTATTCTTTCGAATAGGTTGTTTACTATGTTGATGAACTGTTGCAAGTTGTGGGAAAACATCTGCATATCGAAAAACGGCACTAGATCCTTGAACTCCGTGGATTGATAAGGGAATGTCTGTTAAAGACATCAAATCTTTCTCAAGACAATTAAATGCATTTATTACTTTTAACGCTGCTTCTTCTCCCGTTCCATAAGCAAAATGCGTTATTTTGAGCTAAATGTTATAAAAATATTAGTTTAATTATATAAATATTAATAAAAATTTATAAAAAATTATTACTTTTTGTAGTTTTACGAGTTCTTCTATTTCATCAGCAATGTACACAAATTTATTTCTGACAAAACTTAATTTTTTTGTTAATAAAAAAATTATAATCTTTTTACATATTAATCTTTTTCCAGCTAATGTTTTGCCTTTCGACCAAACCACAGCTTCTCGGATAGTTCCGTCTTGAAATCGTCTTAATTCTGATTTTTTGCCCCAAAATTTTCTAAATTCCATTGCCTAAAATGTAACAAATGTTATGTAAAAATAGATTAATATTCTCTAATTGCGTTTAAATGAATGACTTACATACCTCTGGTAAATTTGCTTCAGGTCCTTTATCAACAACATTAAAACAGTATTCTGGATTTAATTCTAACCCAATAAAAATTGTCCAGACATCATTTCGCTTATCTTCTGTACATTCCCATTCTGAAGCTCCATTTGGTAAAACACAAATTTGATGCACTCTATTTGTCAATCCTTTTTTGAGAGTATTATAAAGAATTTTTATTGCTTGGGTTTGATAATCTGGACCATAATCTAGCTTATCTTTATTATTTGAATTAATGTTTACTAGACTTTTTAACATTTGTGTATCATTAAACCTATACAATTTTAAATTTTATTATTCAGTTATCAATATATATTTTCATAAATTGTGAAAATAATTACCATATAAAGTGATCAAATGCCATGTGAAATGGTACTTTTCTCATAAAAAGTGATTGGAAACTGTTTGCATGTGCACTATCTAAGTGATTTAAACAAAGTTCTGCTTCTCTTTGTAACCATTTATATGTACCTTTAAATATATACGTAGCAATATTATAATAACCAGTGGTATCCAAAAATATACAGTCATAATATTCATGATAGCTTAAAACTTTATTTTTGCTATCTTCATTTTGATTCATAGTTATTCCAGTTTCACACAAGTCAATTTGTACTAATAAAGTAAACAATATCAATTATCAATAATAATCTAAATAACAAACCTTTTATCACTTATATATACTTGAATATCATACCTAAATAATTCCACACATTCCTTACAATTTGATAGCTACTCATAAATGTGTTTAATTTTTTTATAGATAATAAATATAGAATGAACATTGTTATGATATATCCATTAAAACTTGCATAATCTTTTGCTAATTCACGTTGAGTTAACCATATCTTTAATAAGATAATAGCATCCCTTAAATTTGGGTACTCTTTTATTACTTTCATATCATTATTATGTATTTTCATAACTAAATCATGCAAAATTATAGAATTATAATGTGGTGTTGGTAATAATTCCTCTGTAAATATAAATATTAAGACAATATTACTATTTCCATTAGAATATTCTAAATAAGAAAAGAAACTTATTAAAAACATACTATTGTTGGTTTCACTGAAAAACCATTCAGTTCTAACATTATTTTTTTCTGGTAAAAATCTACATAGTTTAAAACTTTCCTCTTGAGCTGATATGTGTATCAATACATTAATTTTGGTGCCCAATTTTCCACTTGGTATAATCTTTAAAATTGGTCTTAATGTATCATTCATAAACTTTTTGCTTTTAGCAATATCATCAGTAATATTAGATGCTATGCATGTCAAATATATCATTTTCTTTTTTATATATCTATAGTTTTGATAGTCTTGTTTTTGAAACATTTTGACAGGCATTTCAATCATTATATCTACAGTACTATTTGGACCAATAGCAGCATCAAACGCATAAGATCCTATAACAGCAATATCTGATGGTTTAAGAAATTTAAACATCCCTTTTGTTTCTTCTGGTACATTAGGCATTAAAATATTGACATTTAATTTTTTCTCCAACTCGTTAGCTGAAAGCTATATTTAAAAATTAATTTATAAAATATTTGTTTTAAATCTCATTACACTGATTAAATCAATCTACATACTTGATATTCTTCTGTTTCCTTTATGGATTCAATAGTTTTCTTAAAATTTTTGAACCAATCATCAAACAAACGTTTATACTTATCTTTAATTCTAACTTCATTTAACATTTCCTCAATCTGTAGTCTAAATAAGTTGGAATGAAATAAATTTTCTGTTTCTCTAAGTTGATTTAATTCTTCAACAGTTGGTGGTTTAAATAAATCTTTGTTTAATTTTCTTTTCTTTTTTGGTAAAATATCTGTGGGATCATCAGTAACTTTTCTCCTATTTTTAATAGATACTACATGAAAATTTTTCTTCCTATTAACTTCTTCCATTTTTTTCTTTTCTTCATTTTCTTCATCTTCAGTTTGATTAATTTCATCATTAGAATAATAATCATTTTCAAGTATCAAATTATCAGAATGGTTTAAAAAATCATTTATATTTGCCTAGAATATGTAAACTTCTTATCCAATTTATGCATAAAAATATTTAAGGTTATATAAACATAATGAAATTTCGTTTTATAAATACTTGCCTTATAAGGTATTTTCATGATTATCTTTTAATTTTTTAATTATTATTACTCTTATATTATGAAGTACATAAAAATTAATTCAAAATATATAACAAAACATTTCACATTCTCAGGAGATCGTTTTGAACGTACGTTTAACCACGTGAGTTCACGATGATTTAACATTAGCGCCATCATTGGATTTCTCGTACGCTTGAATAATCGATATAATAATATCGACATTTTCAAATTTTTAAATTGTCTAAAGATTAGAATTTATTGTATCAAATTTTAGTATTATAAATATTAAATTTTTTTATATTTTTTCATAGACTAATATGTTATTCTTCTGGCATTTATTATTATATATTTATAACATGTATACTTAAAACATGTTAAGGTATCATATTATACAATTAATGTTATTAATTTCTATTTGTTGTTACAGCACAGGCAACGGGAATGTTATAAAAAAAGAAATACATACTTCAGAAAATTACATAAATTATTAACAGTAGGATCAAACTCATATCTATATGAGTTGATTACTCAAGGTATAAATATATGTAGTATTTATTATACTGCACAAATACATACATATACGTATGACCTCAGCAAACAATGAAAAATTATATTATGATACTAGAGATATAACTTAGGAAGAAACAAAATTAACATATTTAATAAGACATAGCTAAGTATTAAGTATATAGATAATATACTAATAGATACAAATATATATGTATTGTCATTGTAAAAAAGGAAGTTTCACCACGTGTTTCAATAGAAAAATAACTTTGATACGAAGGTAAAAAAATTAAATTAAGAGATTAATAATTAACAATTATTAAATTATGAAGTATGTAGCGAAGTATTATTTGCAATTATAAAATCGAATAAGAAAAATCTGATCATTTATACTACACAAAAAATAACGTAGTAGTTCTGAAACAACCATGATCTTCACTATGGAAGCCCACTTTTATTTAAAGAAAAAGCATGAAGGAAGATATACATCTTAAAATAAGATGTGATGATATTACGCACGTGCATAGCTATAGGTACCTATAATAACATGATATTAAAAATTTGTACAATGTAAACATATAGCTTCATAACATAAAAGTTATTTTGCACCATTTTTGGAAGAGTTAATCATACACGAAGGAAACGTTAACACCCTTGTTTTATATGTATATGTATATATGTATGACGAAATTAAATTAAATTTTCTTAATCATTCACATTTGTTTTCATTATGAAATATTTAACATTTTGTAATTAAGTATATAGGTGAGATTGTGAAAACGAAATAAAATAAATTTTATGATTAGCACCTTGTTAGATTATTGAAATAAAATATACAACAAACAAAGTGCATTTTGACAATAATAATAATAATAATAATAATAATAATAATAATGATAATGATAATGTGCAAACATATAATTATTATTAATGAACCCATAAAAATTAATTTTTGATCAAAATAAATATTACATTTCATTGAACAATAATTTTCGTAACCTAAATATATTATAGTATTTGATATCTTTTATTACATAATTTTTATGGAAATTATATGTACTTTTTGGGAAGTCAAAACAATGTAACACTTTTGTAAGTACCAGTAAACATATTTTCCAAATAATTTATTATATTTAATGTTTTTAAACAAAATAAATGTTTGTTTAAAAAAATTATGTAATAAAGAATACAATATAATTAATTATAACTAGGAAAAGCACATAGAAACGAGTTTGTTTGAATATTGTAAAATCTGAAATGGCTAATAAATTTATAACAAAACAGTAGGCTGCATAATCATATAATATAAATTTCTGAACAAGTACATATTAAAAATTTTCTTAGATAATGTTATTAATATACATTAATAAGCTTAATACCATTTCTAGATTATACAGATCAATACCAATGCATTGATCGCATTAATTTTATTAAGCGAACATGCAAGATAAGTTTATTTGAATAATCAATTCAAACAATTTTCTAATATGTACATAATTAATGAAAAGACATATAATTAAATTGGTCAATAATAAAACATAATACTTAAATATGTACTACTATCTTAAAGCATATTATGATCACATTAATTGTTAAATTATTGAATATAAAAAATAATTATAATTCATTGCACCTTTTGAGAGCAAGATCTTTTCCTGGATGTATCAATATTTTTAGTGAAACACAGAGAGCTCATATATTAATTTATAATATATGGAAGTCCTTTTCTATTTTATAATCAAGCAATAGATAATAACTTCATATTTATTAGAAACTAATAATTTAGCTGTTCTCATAATGATATTTGTTGATTTCAGTAACACACAAAGAATATTAAATAAAAACCAAATAGAGAGCACACAATATTATTAAAAATTATGTTTAAAAATCAATAGTGCACATAATACAATAAAAAATAATTAATATACTGAATACTAAGATGTAAAGATATTAATATCTTCACATCATTATATGATTGGTCCAATTACATACATGATTTTTTTCTATTTAATCACTTTTAGGCCCTAAGATCAGAACTATAATATTTTCAATACCACAATTTTCGGAAGATTTTCATTCGTTTTTTATTCACACAGTATTTGTTTCTTAAACGCAATATATTCTAATACACACAATCGAAAATCTATATCATAATAACAAAAAAAATAAAATAAAAGAAGAACTAAATCATGAGAATGTTTACACGTAAATATTATGCAGTTATGCATTAATTTTGTTGAACATCAATATTTCAACTTAGAATAGTACCGACAGCCATATAGATCTATAGGTTCTTAATGTTAAAAGTTGCAAAAAATAGAATCTTTTAATATAGAAAAGATTTTTTTAACATTCTCCTTCAGTTAATATAATTTCAAATGTATAGAACTATTCATAGAGCAATTCTGTGCAAACTGATCTCTTTAGTTTGTATATACATTAATATAGTTGAAATTTTTGTAATTAGATTTATTTATATAGTGTCATTAATAACTTGACCTTTAATAGATTGCAGCTTCATCTGCAGATATAGCCAACTCTTCATCACTCCAATCACTAACTCCAAATCCTGATGAGCCATGGAAACTACGTGATCTTGCAACATTGCTAAAAACAAAGCAAATAATGTTTTCTCTATTTATGATATATGAAGAAAGAACCAGTAAAATATATTTCACTCCATTTATCTTATATGTAGCAATGTTTTAACATGCTAGTGCTTTATACCTATATAAGTAAGATTTTTGTAAAAATTGTAATTTCATTTACATTTCCATAAAAATTCCTATGAAAATTCATTTTTTCTATTAATTTTATAAATCACAGCTTTTAAAGAAATATTAAAAAATTGTGCAATAATAAAAATGTCTCAATATGCTTGGTTCTTTCTTAGATCATGCATATAAAACAAATTAATAAATAAGACATTAATCTAGCTGTGTATCGCATTAATAAGCCACAACAAACTAGTGTGATATTTCTGATTTGCACACTCATGATAAAAAAATATATATATTGGCTTACTTTTAAACTATCTTGTATAAAATAATATTATTTTAGAAAAAATAACCATATTTTGCAGTTGATTCCACTAAAACATAATTATGAAATTATGACATGGAATAAGAAATGAATAATATGGATTTTCAAAATTTTTTAAATACGAAACATAACTTTTTTTTACATATATTACGAAAATAATATATTTATTTAAGTAATTTTTCATATTAAATTATGTAGGATCCATAGTATTCACAAATTAATAGTGCATTGGTAATGGTTTAATGAAAACAATAAATAATACCAAAAAGCAGCAATGTTGCAATAAGATTTTCTTAAGAGGCCATAAAGGCAGTAAAAACAATTAATGGTTACAATTTTTGGTGTACCTCATAAAAAAACCTATATCACAAAATCAAACAAGTCATTTTCGTACCACTTGCTTGTATCGACGGTCTCTATCATTAGATTATCGATCGCTATCAGTCCTACCAACATAGTGAAATAATTACTTTTTATATTAACCGAATAATAAAATGTTTTCATATAATTTTTAATTTAATAAGTATAAATAAATATTTACCTCGGAGAAAGATTGGCATTCGTATTTTTCTTTGCTAAACCTGCTTTTCTCCTTCCTTCCATAGCTGCTTTCATAGGATCATAACTTTTACGACGTTTCCAATTTTGCATTTCAACCTCTCTTGCATTTGGTGTTGCTGGTTTCTTTGTTTCTTTTGATTTTATCTTAGATCCCTGTAATGAAAAATGTTTTAAAAAATATATGAAGATTACCATTCATATGTACAAACATGCTTTATATAAAAAATACACACAGTATTTGTAGTTCGATTTGACCTCATACTAAAACGCCCAGAATCAGTTCTACTAATACTTGTAACAGATTCAGATTTGCGAGTATCTTGTGTGACTGGTTTATTTTTATTAATATTTCCGGGTAGTTTTGTTGGTTGCAAATCTAATCTTGCTCTACGTAAACTGCAAACAAATTTTTAAAATATTTGTGTGACAATAACATTTGTTAATTATACTTATAAATTTTTACCTAAACGCGCGATTATACTTCGTGTTTGAAATAGCACTCTGTGCGTTAGGATGGCGATCATCACTGCTCTCTGTATCGCTAGGTTGATGTAATGTTTTTGATATACTTTTATGTAAACTATGACTAGTATCTTCATCGCTATCATTATCTGAATCTACTAAAGGTGAATGACAGACCGTAATACGAGCAGACATAGCTGACATTACATTTTGTGTTGTTTGTAAATAATATGATGTTTCTATATCGCTATCACTTTCCTGTTTATACAAAATTTGGTAATTATTCACAACAAATATAAATGTAAGAATAAATATTAGTATATATTTACCAACTGTGGACTACATGGTGGAGGTACTTGATTGTCATTCTGAATGCTTAATTCGTTGTCAGACCATTCATTAGCTAATGAAAGAGCACCACCTGTTCCATGAAAACTTGCCGATCGTAATACAGAGTTATCGTGACTAAAAATATATTGATTTGATTAAAAAATTTAAATTATGTACTATGAAAAATCATAATATTATATTTATAATATGTACAATACATACTTTCCTGAACTATCTTCTGTGCTATGATGTTTTTTTGAATTATCTATCAATTTTTTTCTGCCTTCAGCAGCTGCTTTCATTGGATCATAACTTTTTCTTCTTTTCCAATTTTGGAATTCTACCTCCTTTGATGTTAATGTTGAATTACTTCTACCAGATTTCTTCTGATCTTTACACACTTTTTGAATAGGTCGTTGTGTTGTTGAAACATGCTATAAATTTTAAAAGTTATTTAAGTCATAATTATATTAAAAATGTAATTTAGAAAATGTATATATAAATATACAATACAGAACACAAAAATATTTATAAATCTAAAACACCCACATGAGATGATTTTGGTACTCTTATACTAAGTCTGGTACTATCAGTTCTTGATATAGTTGCAGCTCTTGGTTTTGAAGGTTCAGATTTTTTTAAAGATTCTTTATTATGTACATTCATATTACTTGTACGACTTCGATGGTAATTTTGCTGTTTATTTAAAGGTGTTGATTTTACTTCACTTTGTGCTCTTCTGCGTCTTTCTTCAGGGGTTGTATTTGGAGTTGTATCAGATTCACAATTTAATCTATGAGATAATTATAAGTACATTGTATTAGTGTTAAATCTATTACTTTTATTATATTCTATGTGCTTTTAAAGTACCTAGCTCTTCTTATACTAAAAGCTCGATTTAACTTAATTCCAGAAGAAATTGAACCTAATGAAGATTTTGCTTGCTGTTCACCAGTTTCACTGCTACTGTCAGAAGCACCAAGATATCTTCCTCCTAAAGATGTTCTGTCAATATCACTACTATTAAAGCTACTGCGACGGGATGACTGGCTTTGTGATTTTACATTTCTAATATTTGCATTGCTACATGATCTTTGGATATTTAAATTACGTTTAAGATTTGGACTATTTTGAAGAACACTGTCTGTTGTTGTACTAAAGACAACATTTCCTTCCTGATAATTTGCAGTGCTATTAGATTTTCTTAACATATATGGACTACAAAAATAAATTACTCGATATTAGATGAATAAATTAAATATTATCAATTTTTACTGATTATTCATACCTATTTTCAACACATGTAAAATAACCAATATTTTTGGCTTGTGGAGAAGATTTTGTCAAATGTTTAGTTCTTTCCAACACTGGTGAATTAACAATTTTGGTGACGGTTTTGCGGGTTACAATTGGACTGTTTGTTAATTTTGGTGTAGATGGTCTTAAACGACTTAAAACTGGACTATTTGAGTACTTAATTTCATCATCTTGATAGTATTTCATACTACTTTTGGACGTATTACATTCTTCTGTGTTAGATGTATAGTCTCTCCTACATTATAAAAAATCAAATTACAAAAATTGTTTGAATTTTATTTTTTACATATAAATGATTTCTTCACCTGTCCAAGGAACTACTTCTTCTTCCTAAATGAAGAGAAGTGAAATCTTTGGACGGACTACTTAATTCTGCATTTGTATCTTCAGTCTTTGATTTATTTGAACTTATATATTTGCGGATACTTCTTCTATTTTCGTTGGTGTTAATTCTTCTAAAAAGAGATTCAGATAAACTTCCTCTCCTGGTCAAAACCCCATGGACTGGGGTTCTTTGTGAACTTTGTGGAGGTGTATTATAACTATTACTGGTATCATCATCTGACTCTCCACCAGAATCAATAAGTATATGTTGGTTTGAAATTAAACCAATTTTTTCTTTTATTCGCAAATATGATTCTGCATCTAAACTGCTGTCACTTTGTTCCTAAAAATATTTGTCATTATGTACATTTGACGCGTATGTATATAATATGTATATACATACGTACATATTCTAGATATAAATAATAAATATTTCATACATTACGACTACGAGCCAATCGTAAAGATCTGCCATAAATAGGAGATGGTATTTTAGAAGGACTTAATGGAGGAGTACGACCAGTTGGTCCACCAATAGCTGGTGGAAGAGAATTATGTTCTGCTACTTGAGTGGCCCATTCTGATATCCATGTATTGTTATCCCTTGAAACACTCATCTGTGAAATAAAGAATATTTTAAATAATATGAAAAAATGATTATCACAAAAAATAATACAAAATTAATTTACCTTAAAACTGTGAATACAAGCTTCATTACTTTCATCTTCAGTTAAAATACCAACATTAAATACCTTATCAATATCCATTCTAGCTTTCTCTTCATCTGTATAATCTTTATGAATTGTATATGTCCCTGCTTCACTAATTGCTCCATCTGATCCCCCATCAACATTACTCACATTGAAAGCATCTATATCTGTTTCAGCTTGATCATCTGGATTTACTTCCATTGTATAGCTAACACTAGATAAGTTGGATTCTTTCGCATGTATGGTTTTATTTCTAACATAATTGATATTAGACACTTTTTCAGACAAATTATCAGATGAATGTTCATATTCATCTTCTTGATCAATATTCTTTGTATACAACTTTTCTGTATCATCATCATAATTATTTGTTTGAATTCTACTTAAATCATTTATCGTAGCAGATTTCTGTGGTACCCAATATGATTTTACACTTGTTTTTTCTGTATAACCAAGTTCTAGAGACAAATTTTTATAAGGAAGTTTAGGTTTTTTTGATTGTTCAAAAGACTTACTCATTGTGTCTTGTTTATTTTGAAAATTTGATACTTTTACATTAGATTCAGATTTTTTTAAGACAGGTGATGGTTTTAAAAGTGATTTTGAACCTAAAATTAGAATATTATAATTATAAAAGGAATGTGCAATTTAGTAACAAATTAAAAATTTTAAAACTTGTTAATTTAATACAATGCAAAGTTTTAATATCAATTCATGCATGACGTTAAAATCATTAATGTTAGCAGCTCACATACTGTGGATATATCAAAATTACTTGAGAAGAATATTAAAAAGCATAGTATAGATGACTTCATCATGACTCATACATTACAGATATAGTCATCCATTATATACACTTAGCTTTCCAAAAGGAAGCAGTCTTCAATAATTACAAGTATTTAAACATTATTTAAAATTTTAAGTAATAAATACATATTTATCATAAAATCATAAAATTATGAAATTATGATAATAATTAGCAATGTTAATAATGAACTGTTTATGCATTGTTGCTGTGCACCTAGTACATATTTGTAAAAAAAAATTAATAATTAATTTACGTAATTGATATAATATATTTTTTTCTGAGAACATCTAATATTTGTTATCAAATTTCTATAATTTAATATAAATTAGACTTTTTAATATTTAACTAAAATTTTAAAGCAATAATTTTAAAGTTATAAAATTACCCAATTGTTTTAGTTTCTCTGACAACTGATCTGTTTTTCGTTTTGTATCATCTTCACTACTAAAATAGCCTTCAGAATGTGTACTAGAAACTTTTTGTTTTTGCATTAAATTTGGAGAAACTAAAGTAACAGGTTTTTTTGTATTTATTTCTACCTGAAAATTTAATTCCAATTTTAGTTATATCTCTTTTATATTCATCACATTTTTACAAATGTTATTTTATTTATGAATATGTTTTTATACAGAATATATTTACCTTTGATGCAGACAAATTTCTTTTATGTCTAGCATTATATCTTTCAAATAAGTTCTGATATTTAGTTATATCCACTTCTTTATTACCAAAATCAATTGTGAAAGCTAACGGAGCTTGTGAGACATAACCATCAGTGGAATTTTCTGATTTTCCTTCTAGTGGTTCAGTTTTACAGTCGTTCTTTAAGATCTTTTCATCTTGTAATAATTCTTTTTCTTTATCTTCATCACTTTTTTCCTCTTCTTCATTTGTAGACACTAAATTATCTTCTAAATTTTTTGCATAAATTTGAGAATTTTCAAGTTGTGCGTATATAGTATCGTCACGTTTTTCACTATCAATCGTTATATTTTTAAAAGAAGATAATGAATTTTCGACATCTTTAATATTTTCGTTGTCTTTTTGAATATCGTCATTAAATACCATCGAATTGTTTGCCGAAAGTTGAGTGTCAATCTCTTTGGATGTATTCTTTTCTACTTCCATATTCACAGCCATTGAACATTCCAATTTTAAACATCCGTAATTAGAATGATCACGTTCTCTACAACACTACTATCTATTACAGTTAATTTGTAAATGCCACTCCTATAATTACATCTCACTGGTTGACTGTAACGTCATATAAAATCCAATATAGTATAAAATTTCTCTGACACATCGACACACTTGCGTCTATCATACGCCATTGACGGCAAAAAGTGTCAACATTCAAAATTACCAATGCGCAAAAGAAAATGTTACTAAAGTAAAAATATTACATTTATGAAATCATTATACGAATTCGAATGATTATTAAAGTGGAAAAGAAATATTACAATAGCGATTGCTTATTTTTTTATATGAGTAATTATAATATAATAATTACATACGACATGGTCAAATATTATTGGCTCGATTGTAAAACTAGGTTGATGGAACGAATGGAGTACTATACGCTACTGTATCGGCGTTGATGTTTAACGTCTTTGGTTCTACGCGGTCTTCCTACTTTATTGTATCTTGTATGACGTTAGATTTATCCTTGTTAGGAGGGCGTGCAATTTTCACGATCTCCGTTTACATATTTTCGTGATAATGCCAAAAAGAAAGAATCAAGCTCTTATAGATTCTGATAGTAGTGGCAGTGCATCAGAAAGTGGATCGGATTTGGATAATGTAAATGATATAACCTTACATAAAAATCTTATATTATACATCTTCTGTTTTACACTTTTGGTTAACTTCTTTTATGTCGAAAATTGAATAAATTACTTTTAATAATAGTATTCTTTGCTTTAAGTCATCTTTTATAACTTTGAAACATATTGAAAAAAGAAAATATGAATGAAATTTACTTTACATAACCTGTTATATTACTAAATAATATACCTTCAGATTTAAATACTTAAATAGTTGATATTTAATTTAAACATATTAATTAATTAATTAATTAATTAATTATAGAATGTATTAATTTTTACAATAATCATATTTTGAACGTTATATATTTGACAAATTTAATGTTTTGTAGAAAACAATTGAATCCTAATCTTATATTTATATATATTTGAATTAGGATTTATTATCCCTTGCTAAAAAGAAGAAAGGCAAGACCCAAGATGATTCTCAATCTAATGAAGAAACTAGCACCACTAAAAAAGATAATAAACATGACTCAGATACATCAGATTCTGACGATGATTGGGGTGCAAAAGCTGGTAAAAATAAAAAAAAGAAAGTGCCAACTAAAAGAAATAAACGAAAGATGACAAAATCTAGTAGCGAAGAAAGTGCAAGTGAAAAAGAACCTGAGAAGGTTTCTGAGCCAGAAGAAGGTAATCGTTTGAAATAAACATTAAGATTAATTTTTCTACATTAAAACACTAAAAGTGTTTTATAATTTTATAATAATACAAGATAATTTTTTATTTTTAGGCGAGGTTTCAGACTCAGATGCTAGTGTTTCTGATTCTAGCCAAGAAGAATTTAACGATGGTTACGATGATAAATTAATGGGAGATGAAGAGGATCAAGCGAGACTTGCTCAAATGACAGAAAAAGAACGTGAACAGGAAATTTTTAAACGTATTGAACAACGTGAAATCATGAAAACAAGATTTGAAATTGAAAAAAAATTGAGAATGGCTAAAAAACAAGAATTAAAGAAACAAAAAGAGTCAAGAAAAAAAGAAAAAAGTGCAGAAGAAAAGAAAGTTGATAGAGCACCAGATCCTAAAGAGCGAAGTAAAGATCGTAAAAAAACAATAGAAGAAAAGCAAGATAAAAAATTCCATGCAATGTCCCTTTTAAAAGCAAGACGAGAAGAGAAGAAGGAAAGAGGTAAAATATAATATAAAAAATTGAGTTAGTGTAGATAAATTGAAAAACAAGTCCACTATAAGTTATTAAGCTTTGATATATTTTATTTTCTGTTTCTTTGCTAGAGGAGAAAGAAAAACAAAGAATAGAACAACAGCAACAACAATCAAAGGATATTGAAGAAGAAGAATTAGAAGATGACCATAAAGGGGGTGCAAATAAAACAAAACTCAAAGCATCTGATATTTATTCTGATGATAGTGGTTCATCAGATAGTGGTGAAGAAGAAGATATTGCTAAACCATCATCTCATCGCAGATCATCTTCAAGTGACAGTAGAGATACTGATTCAGATACTGATAAAAAGTCAGTAATTAATTATTTTCTGTTAAAAGTATTAATTAAATGTTAATGATATTAGTGACATTAATAACCACTTAACAATTACATTTACAACTTTGCAGATCTATTACCAGTACTAAAGCCAAACCAAAAAAACCAATATATGTCAGCACCAAGGAAGATCTCAATAAAATTAGATTATCTCGTCATAAAATGGAGAGATTTGTACATTTACCTTTCTTTAATAGGGTAGTACAAGGTTGTTTTGTTAGGATTGGTATTGGAAACAATAATGGAAAACCAGTATACAGAGTAGCTGAAATTAGTGGTGTTTGTGAAACAGGAAAGATCTATCAACTTGGAGGTACAAGAACAAATAAAGGATTAAAGCTAAGACATGGAGCTCAAGAACGTGTATTTAGATTAGAATTTGTGTCAAATCAAGAGTTTACTGAATCTGAATTTTTTAAATGGAAAGAAACTTGTGCTTTACAAGGAATATCAATGCCTACTTTTGAAGAAGTTGAACAAAAATTAAAAGACATTAAGGAAGCTTTAGTGTACGAATTTAAGGAAGAAGATATAGAAAAAATAGTACGAGAAAAGGAAAGATTTAAACAAAATCCATATAATTATGCAATGAAAAAAGCCCAATTGATGCGCGAAAGGGATGCAGCCAATTGTAGAGGAGATGATGAAACTGCCAGTCGGCTCAATCAAGAATTAAGTGAACTTGAAGAACGTGCCTCCGAGCTTGATAAAATGCGCACTGCAACGATATCTAGTATATCATATATTAATGATCGCAATCGAAAAAAGAATGTTGAAGAAGCAGAAAAAGCAATTATGGTAAATTAATAGCACTTACTATAAAATATAAAATTATTAAAATATAATAATATTATTAATTTATTATGTACTTTTCTATACAATAGGAAGAGATTAAAGCCAATAAAGGTAAAAAGGTAGATGACCCATTTACTAGACGAAGCACGAAACCAAGAATGGTTTTTAAACCAGAAGATGAAGACGTATCATCTACTGCTCCAGTAAGTGATAAAGTTAGTCCTCAACAAACTGAGGCAGTAACAGTATGTAATGAAAAAGAAAATGGCCAAGAAACAAAGAAAAAACAAAGTACTGAAGATTTGTTTAATGCTCATGACTTTGATATCACAATAGATTTGGAAGTACCAATTCCAAGTAAGTAATATAAATATGCTTATTTCGAGTAAAAGCTTTAAGCATTTTGAATATAAATTATAAACTTATTATTTTTTAGATAATCCCGTTAGTGTATTGCCGAAACCTATTAGTAACATCAAAGATACTGGACCTCGACGATCTTTAAATTTAGAGGATTATAAGAAAAAACGAGGGCTAATCTAACGATTTATTAGTTTTAGAAATAAAAATCAGTCCTTGATGATCTGATTAATTCTAAAAACAAGGACGAAGTCTTGTAACAGTTGACTGAGAAACTAGCTTATGTATAGTTCTCATATAATATTACTTTTTTGTTATAAATAATGACTCCTTCATTTAGAAAGGATATAGGTGGTTCCTACCATGTAATTCTATTTACAAAGTCATAATTATTGTATTCTGTTACGAAAGAATGCAATTTCAATGTTCATTAAAACATTTTGTTTTTTAAAGAACACTGTTAAGGAGTACTTAAAAAAAAAAGTATTACAATTTGAATTACTTTAGAATTTCATAATTGCATTTGTTTTCCTTTATCAATGACACAACTTTTCTATATTTTAACAAAAATAATATTACTTTTTTTTCATATTCAAAGAGAAAATAAACTCAATATTGAGAATTATTAATTTTTTAATATAGACATCAAATAAATAATTTTAATAATAAAAATCAATATGGATCATAAATATACTAATCATGATTTGCATATACTATTATGTGACATTTTTCTGTGTTCTGTATGTTACAATAAAGATTAATAAGCAGCCAGCTCATAATAAAAAATACAAGAAATCACATAAATTTGAACTGGGAAAAAATATGATTTTACTAATTATGTTTATGATAATTGATTGCTTTGTATGAGAACATTATGAAGACTATCATACGTATAGATATTTTTTTATTGTCTGCAGTGTTTGAATACTGCAACTGCAAACTACTGCCAATATAATTTGGCCACAGAAGCTTCGAATATGTTTTACTATAAAAATTTGTAAATATTCTCTAAACAGTTCAAATAATTTAAATTGCTAAATTCTTATATATATATTTCTGTACGAAATAACGACAAAAACATATTTTTAGATGTATACTTTTCTTATGTCTAGTTAATTCGATTACTGTTAACTTTAATCTGTCAAATTTGATAGATACTTAACAGATGTATTATGGTTAATATGATTTTTATTAATGTTTAAAAAAATTAGATATCTTTCTGCATCTTCTATCCACAATATTATTCTTTAGTATATAGTCATAAGCTTGATATCTTGAATAAATAAAACTTGATATTTTGTATTAGAAAATATGCATTTCTTTATAGTTATACAAAAATACTTGAAAGCAGAACAAAAAAAAGGAGCAAGTAAGCTGTTATGTTAAAATATCTAATTTTACTATAAAATTTTATTTATCCAAGATGTCAAAAATTATTTAGTATAATTTTTCAAAATTATGTATGATTATATAAACTGATAAATTTCCACATGAATATGAAATGCTGATTAGAATCATTATTCTGGTATCAAAATGAAGCATATTTGCTATTATTCACAAATTTGCCAAAATTGTACATATATGTACCTAGACAGTACTATTAAAAAATTTTAGAAAAATTCATATTTTTATTTATAAAATGAAAATCTTACAATTTACATCTTTGAACAAAAATAATGACTTAAATTCTCTATCAAGTGGAATATATTCTATAAAAATTCTATAAAAATTATGTTTTTCTGCCTGACAAAAGATATTTTAGGAATTAGATTGTTTATAATACTCAGTTTTTATACTAGATAAAATAAATCATAAATTCAATTTTAATGTACAATTAATAATTCTTTAATGTATGTTAAGATACATTTCAATTATCTTCTAAATGTTTAATTCAATATAGACTACTTCAGTATTTCTTAATTTATCATTTATAGTGCTTATGTAGCATAATCTTATTCACTATTTTAGTTACATCATGTATTATTATAAATTAGAGCAATAATCTAAGACTAATTATATTAAAAACAACCTTTAAATGTATTGCATATGCTTTTAAGCTGTATGATTGGTAACAGTATTACAATAATATACATGTATACGTATAAATGTACTTATATTTCATATTTCTTCAACCAAGTACTTCATACAATCTTCAACATATAAAAATATTGTATTTACTTATATTTTTGGCATATCAAGATATAGTGTTTAAGAAAATTATATTTATGTGAATATTATAATTCATAAATTTTTGTGCTTCAAATAATCATAATGTTATTTCTTAAACATAAATATAATGTCACATTAATACGTCTACCATACATGTTACTTGAAGCACCCATATCAAATTTATCTATTTGATTTGAAACATCTGACAATTTTTTACATTATTAAAATTTCTAAGAGAGAAATTTATTATATCAATAATTTAATATTTATAATGTTTTAACTTTACTGATAAAGTTACTTGAGATTGCCGCTAATTTAATATTGTATTGTTACGGTTTACAGTATTTTGAAACTGTTAACTACATTGCGCGTCATGCGCACGCAAAACATGCAGCATGCGCACAGAACGACGCGCGTCGTCTGTATGCGGTCGCTTGCATGCCGCTGCCCATATAAGGTAATTTCCCCACGTCCCTCACTATGATTGGTTGGTATGACCGGCAGATTACATCGATGATTAATTTCTAAAAATTATATATCATTGCTTCTCGAATGATATCCATATATGTTTAATGACACTATGACACTTATTAATTAAACTTATCCATAAGATAATCTGAGAAAAAATTATATTCTAGATAAAATTGAATACTATATAAACGACCGGCACGACCGCATCGCACAACGCTTGCGCACTGGAACAATTCAACCGGCTCCAAGGCAAAGTTTGTACTTGCATGAATTTAATTCGTTGATTTGCCATAAAAAAGAGTAGAGGGTTCGAAATATACAATCTGTTAATGAATTTTCTTAAAGAATATATCCTATAAACAATCTAAAGTTTTTGTTAGTCTGCGATCGGCCAATCAAGACAAAGTTAATCAGAGTGCGCGCGCGCAGGCGTAGGGATACAGGATTCGCAGAAAGCTAGCTAAGAGAGGAGCCTCCCTTCCCGTTCGTTCGTGAGCCGCGACCCCCGCGACTGGACACTGCGCCTATCCAGTTCCACCAGATCGAGGCTCTCGTGAAAGTGTAGGTTAAAGTGCTTGTTTACGTGATTTTTCTCACCGGCTACTACATCACGAAATGGTAAATATGATATTGTGCATGTATTCATCTTCCAAAAAATGTCAACGATCCTTTAGAAACCGGTACACAGCTTACTTTGTGGTTATGGCCGAAGCAGACGCGCCGGTCGCCATTTCTGTCCCGGCAATACGCCGCGAGAACGACTGCTTTCTTCTTTTGGCCACACCACTCGACCAATATCATTTATTCTAAACTACTCATTTGAATTTATCTGTGTTACTGATTTTGATACTTCTAACAACGAAATAACAAAATTAAAATCTCTCGTGTAGGTGCATTTTTACGTGCCAATCGCGATTCCTTGCTTCCAGGAAACGGATGATTCATTTCCAGTTTCGCGATACGGCAGTCAGACTCGAAGAGCAACTGTGATCGGTGACGGGAAAAAATTGTATACCGTCGATAAGTAAAAACTCGCGGTTGTGTTGTAACGTATCGTCGCATGGCAATCGTCTAGGTGAATTCTTTTTCGGTTCTATTTAATTACAAGAAACGAAGAATTTTGTTCTTTCGGTAAATACATGTTTTCCCGCTAATGTATCATTTTTGACGGTTAGTTTCCTTATCTTTTTTTTTCTTTCTTATCACATGCTTCAATCCAGTGTAAAATATTTAATTGAATTTTCTAGATTAGTATCGTGCCTTTACCAAAAACAATAATAATCGTAGAAAAACAACATTTTTAAATAATTTTAATATTGTTCAATGAATAAGTACTTTGTTCCTTTTTGTTCCATAAATCTGCATTTAACGTGGATATCTTATTGGATGCGACGAAATACATTTTATTGGAAATACATTTATCCTTTCTCGAATTTTCGTTGTAATTGCCAAAAATTTATATAACAAATATAGGTTATGCCAGATTGAAATTTCGTACTAATCTTCGTGTATGATGTCGAAATATTGAACTCTATTATCGATCAACAACCAATTTTTTTCAATTGTCTCGATATATATTTCATCTTTTGAAATTTAAGTCATATCATTTTTGGTTATTGGATCTTTTTATTACACATTTGTAAAAAGATATTCTCATGAAACCCACATGCAGTGAGAAGTATTTGCACGAGTGTTTTCGACACGTACGTACAAAGAGTGCAGTCCGTGATTTATTTAAAGATAAATCTTTTATATTGTGAAATAGTTTCGTTCAGTATAAAGTGCTGTCTATTATTTATAATTGTATTCCATATATAAAGATTATATTAAAAGTCACAATTAATAAAACCATCGGTATTTTCCATAAGCATTTTTAAATTTTCTTTAGCAATTAAAATATTATGTTTATAGAATGATTTGTCATGTCCACGATGTATCTATCGAAGTTCCGGAAGAATTCATTAGGTAGTTGCGTTTCGTTTCCGGCAAATTGGCGACAGAAAATTAACCATGTGAAACTAGCACAAGTAGTAACTACCGTTCTCCAAATACATTTTAAATATTTATGCTAGTTACCTATAGACGCTGTATCCTTGGTAATGAAGAGCTGAGTTTCCTTGCGAAACTAACCCTCCCCCTCTCTTTCTTGCTTCGAGGATGACAGTGAACTACAAGAGTTCTGGTAGAGAGGGAAAAATTCAATGAGCCCGTAAGGAGGTCGGTTCTTGCAGGCCAGTGACTCTCAAAGTTCACTGACGCCTTCGTAAACGTGATGAATAAACTGATTATTCTCTACAATGCGATGATTAATTCGATTCGCTATTTTTTATTCATAATTGTCTAATTTGTTCTCTTTCGTGTTATCAGTTAAAATGCGACTTTTAAATTTTTTCATTCAAATTATTTCATACTATTCCTTTTCGTGTATTTTATATCTTCGTGATGAAAACCTTCTAATGTCTACCATTAGAAATCAAGGAAATTAGGGTAATTAGAAACTAAAACTAGTGAAGATGGTAGAATTTTAAATTACGTATAAGTGTGTAATTCTTGTCGACAGATTTTATACAAATTCACAAGTCTTCGACTGATATCTTATTTTTCCTGGAACGAAGGTTGGATATTTACTGTCCTTTTAGTGTTATCGAACTATAAAATAATATAAAGTGGCACATGTAAACGAGCAATATACTCGACAGTTAAACAACCGAGCATGTCGCTGCTCATCGGTGAATCATCTTCCGTTTGACCTTGTGCCACACACAAGAGACGTTTACAACAACGCCCTAGAGGGAGCCAAGTCTGGCCCTAACCGGCATCCCCTGTCGTGCCAGAATATCGACCGAGGAATTGCATCCTCCATCCACTGGCTATCCTCCAACCACGTTACACTTTTCGTCGGACCCTTTTGCACCCCAATCGACCCTTATGTTCATTATGCCAGAATAGACAAAAGCTTTGACCATTCGTTCAGAATTTATTTACAACAACGTTCAGTTACTAATCAGCAGAAACGAATTCATTTTACAAATATACTTTCTTTAACATTATTTTAGTATCTGTTTTATTGGTGTGTTATATTCGTTATAATTTTTATGTCATAGCCGTTATAAATAATAATATGAAATAAATTTAGATTAATCGTCATCACGCATAGTTAAGATTGTTTATTTTAGTGAATAACAAAGTTGAAGCAAGCAAGTACACAGGAACTGTATACATGGTCTGGCAAACTATCTGCTTTATCTTCAAATATCGAATTACGTTTTACTCGACTAATTTTAGCGGTGTTGCAATTTCTTGTTTATAGCCGTGAACCTGTTTGTTTTGTCACGATTCCTTGCATTCGGCAACGAAGAATTTTTCACAATTTGTATAGACTTTCGAATTGAAAGCGTTGAACCTAGACGAAAGCAGTTTCAAAAATAACTATCCCACTTCGAACTTTTTACCGTGTGCATGTCGCCCATCTGTGGCATTACGCCCCCCTTCCCCCACCCGCCCCTCACTCGCTAACGCTCTCCCTCTGACGCCTCCCCTTCTCTCCTTTCGTCTTCCCCTATTCTACTCCCTTCGCCAGAATCTCTATCCGGGTGTCATGTCATGGTCGTATTTCACAAATTTCACGAAGAAACACGTAGTCGGACGAATCGCCGTACCGTGTGGCACGTGCCTGAGAGCAAGGGATAACTTTAGAAATGGACGTCGGATCTCTTTTAGCATCGAATTCGTGCGTGGGAAGACTTTATTTCGGTACGTCCCCTACGTTTGCCCGCGAAATAAGCTTAAACGGCCAGACTAACACGACGCGCGTAATATTGATAGTGTCAATACTGGCACGATCTCATCGTCAGTCAACCACTTTGTTATATATCGCAATGCAGAAAGACGTCCGACGTTCGTAATCAGTGTTTGCACGATGTCGAAAGAAAATTACTTATTAGAAGAAATGACGTGGTAGAGATTGCTGGAGGGTTGTTGCGGGGATACGTATAGTGATAATCTACAATCAATGAGACGAATAACAAATGCAATTCTAATTGAACACACAATTAATTTTCAATTATACGGTGTTTCAATTAAATTGAAATTCATAAACGAAACAATTTTACTGAGTTCAAAATTTTAACGAAATTTTACTCTGTCATACACGCAATAAAAGTACGTGTTATAAATCGCGCGAAGAGTTACAAGTTTCTTGTCACCAATATCAGTTTCAACGAGTTCGATTAAGTTTTATAAACAGACTTTTTTTTTATCAAACTCTTATGCAACCTTGTAATTCTTTACGACACCTGATTTATCATTATGATACTGACAAATTACATGTTATTTGAAATTATAAATAAATTCTCGATTGATGGAAAATCAGTTGTTTAATTATTAACAATTTAAAAAAGAAGATATATGTTGTTAAAATCAGAAAAAATATATAATGAAATTATTAAATATTAATAGCTATGTGCTTGTTTGTTTAGGCGTCTGGAGTAACAGTGGCCGACGTTTGTAAGACAACGTACGAGGAGATTAAAAAAGACAAAAAGCATCGATATGTAATCTTTTACATTAAGGACGAGAAACAAATTGACGTTGAAGTCATCGGACCTCGCGACGCAGTTTACGACGCCTTCCTTGACGATTTGCAAAAATGTGGTGCCGGAGAATGTCGCTATGGCCTCTTTGATTTTGAATACACTCATCAATGTCAGGGTACTTCTGAGGTAATATTAGTCGAAGTATCGAAAATCATAGATCAGTATAAAAATACATAAAAATCATAGATCGTTATAAATATTGTTCTATTGAATTTTGTTATTTTTTAGGCTTCTAAGAAACAAAAATTGTTCTTGATGTCGTGGTGTCCTGACACGGCTAAAGTTAAGAAGAAGATGTTGTACTCGAGTTCTTTTGATGCTTTGAAAAAATCCCTAGTTGGTGTACAAAAGTACATACAGGCAACAGACCTCTCAGAGGCCTCTGAAGAAGCTGTTGAAGAGAAGCTCCGAGCCACTGACAGGAATTAGGAGTATTTCAGCAAATCCAAAATTATTAATATTATTGAGAGAAATCAAGTGAAAAACAGTACGCAAATTCCCTTCCCCAAAATAATGCTCTATACCGTCGTCGCATCGAACGTTCACGTTTTTACACATTTTTTCACGTTTAAACGAAAACGATTATTAAGTATTTGTGCTACATGTATTAGTCATTGGGGAGCGTAAACATTAGCAGAAAGGAACGTAAAAGGAACAAAAAGTATATAAAGAAAAAAACACTTTTCATACTGCGAACGTTGTGTGAATCTGTCTGATATAATATTAATATTATACTATTATTATAATTATAAGATACTTGTAAAAGAATAACAGTTTACAACCAGTCAGGCAGTAAGAATGAAAGCATTACACTTTTGTCATGGGCTGTATAATGTTTAAATTAAATTCATTTCATAATGACTTCTTGTAAAATCCCGTTAGTAAGTCCTATATTTTCCTAACGTTGTGTGAAATTCAATTGTTTGAGTTGTTATTTAAAAAGAGTAACTAGTAATATCGTTTGTATATGATAAAGTCAATTAATCGTTTTATATACGAAATAAAATTTGCTTCTATTATTTTCTATAATTCTTTATATTGAATTTAAATGTATAAAGCATATATTTCACGTATTTAATATACTATTGATTATTATAATTTTTCGACGTAATATTAAATTCATTATTTTTTGTTAATTATTAAAATTTAATACGTAATATAAATATAATTTTTATCCTTTATTATGTGTTGAATTCGACGAAAGTATAGAAAAATCCCTGTTAACGTTTTTTTTTGTGTAACATTATTTACAGAAAAGAGAAAAATATAAAAAAAGTTTAAATATTTGTAAGTTTGACATTTATTGATTATGCGGAAGTAAGTTCTAATGTTATCGACTTTTTCAATCTTCCGACCTTGGAATTGCTATCGGAATGTGAAACTTACTTTTTGTACATTGATACAATAAATAAATGCACAGAAAAACTATCTAGTAAATAAATATAAGAATTTTCTAAAATATATTAGTTTTTGGCTCCTTCGCATAAATATTTTTAATTCGTAAACTTCTCACCTAGAAATTAATTTTTTAGGTATAAAATATTCTATAACTACATTACATTTACAACTATTAATGAAATTACGTTTTGAATTGTTTTTGCAAATTTTGTATTTTAAGTATTCAATTTTAACAAAGGTTTTCAACTTTTTATACTTTTTTTCTGCTCTATACAATTATCGTTGTATTCTAAATACAAACTGATAAAATACATATGACGTGAATACAATATTACTTTGGTAGTATTTGCTTAATAACCATTTATACAGACAGTACCTAGCCTTTCATAAGTATATTAACTTTCATGTAAGTAAATATTATTATATATACAGTTGATATTTGTGCATAATACGCGTGCAGAAAGATAATAATGAAAAGTTAGTACATCTATATAAACATATCGTTATCTATTAAACATATTAAATTTTTAATCTGAAAATATTACTCTTGCAATTTTCAAAATATTAATACTATATTATAATATTATACGGATATAAACAATTTATATATTCACTTTTATATTATAAGTTTATTAAATCAATTAACTTCATATTTATTTGATAACATTGAGATAAGTCTAGAAAGTACAAGTTTTATTATATCATAGTCTATCTATGTGGGATGTAGTTTATGATATCTAAAGGCGTGCACTGCAATCTTGTCACAATTTACGGAATTATGGAATACCAAGTGATCTATTGAAATATTTGGTAGAATGTTTTATTTTATAAAGTATGGTAGGAAGGATATGCTTTAATTATTTCAACATTTTCTGCGATACAGATTAATTCTGTTCGAAGGTAATTTGATATGTCATATAGTAATTTATTATGATATCACGAATACTAATTTCATATGTGTTACTTCTGAAGCTATAATACTATAGTGTACTTTATCATAAATAATGATTGTATACAACTTCGTGTAAAAAAAGAGTGTATTAAAAGTTTATTTACAAATTTTTTACATTATACTCATTTCATTGATTGTAGTTACCTATGTTGTCTGAAGTTTAATTTAGTAGTGGTATAAATTAAAAATAATTTTAAGTTTACAGCATTTACAATGACAACACCTATGTGTGAAGATGGTGGAACTTTACGGGAATGGGCACCCCTTGCTATGCTTCTTCAACAAATACCTGCAAAAATTCAAACTGGCCTTTTTACGCACAATATTAACTTTACCTGCATTGATGTTTTGCCTGAATTTATAGTCATTGGAACCAATTATGGATTAGTATACTGGTTTGACAGAGAAAAGCAAGATTTACAAAAGCTCCGATGTGAGGTATTAGATATGATACATTTTTAATTCATTGATAATTTTGTACTTATATATAAGATATTGTCCCAATTTTATAGAATGTTAGTTCAAAAATTACATGTATTCGAGTTATATCAACAGTGGACTACATGGTTGCAGCTGGTAACGAATATGGAGTAATAACTGTATTTCAAATACCTAAAAATCCACCAGATTCATTACCAGATAGCTTAAAACCAAAACAGAAAAAACAAGTTGAAAGATATAGCATAAGCGGCTTACATAATAGTGCTGTAACAACAGTTGAATGGTCTAAGAACGGTATGAAATTATTTAGTGGAGATCAGAATGGTTTAGTTGTACTTACTGAAATTGATTTTTATATGGTATGTAAAATAAACTAAATAATCATATAGTATTATTTATAAATTTTTATCTTTCTTCTGTAATTAAAATTTTTCTATAGCATTTATCAAAATCATCAGAATTGTTAAATGAAAAATATCCAATAGTGCAGTTAAGTTATCAACAAGGTTTGTTGCTAGTTTCTACAACATTACGTACGATACTGGTAAATAGAAATGAGAATGGAAAAGTAACACAAGTTGGTCAAAAAGAACGCAAAACGTTAGTATTTAATCGAATTGACACTAAGTTTCTGGCAAATTATGTGTAATTATATTAGAAATAAAAACCTAACAATGATTATGTGTTTCAGATTAGAAAAATTAGGTGCTGTATTTGGTTGTAGACACAATTATGTACAAGACTTCTTAATATATGCTAGTAGACATGGATTACGTTTATGGCAAGCTGATAAAACTGGAACTGTATTAAAAACACTTATTTTTAAAGATATTGTACGATCTGGACATACAGAAGTAGAACTTCTAAATCCAGCACCAGAAAGTTCTAAAAAAAATCGTGGAGAACCTACATTTGGTGTTATTTTACCTTTCTGTGATGATTTATTAGTTACATATAGTGATGATATTATATATGTAGTAAATCCACAGACTATAGCTATAACATCTATTGTAACAGACTTACGTCGTGTTACTGACGTTGCATGTACTAAAGATGAAATATTCGTATTGGAAGGAGAAAGGAACATAATACGTATTGCATATTATCCTGAAACTAATGTGCTTTCATCAGGTAGACATTGTTAAATATCTTCAATATTTCACCCACATTTTACAAACAAATTTCATTTTTAGAAGTGAAGAATAGATTAGATCCATTAATATCACTTGCTGAAATTAGTAAACCAGTTACCAATGGTATATTAGGATTAACTTCCAAATTAATGGAAAGTACAATAGTACCAGCTATTCCTTTTAATAAAATCAATCCAACTAATATCATCCAGTCTGTGGGGTAAAGTATCCGAATGAAGAAGAATGTTTCTATTTTTTATACATAAATAATATATAAATTATGTATTTAAAACTACACATTACTTTTCAGAATTCCACCAGTTGCTGACGGCGCTACTAGTACTGCTAGCACTGCTGGCACTGCTGATACCGCTGATACTACTGGTACCGCTAGTACTACTGGTACCGCTGATACTGCTGTTATTGCTGGTACTGCTGGTACTACTGGTGCTGCCGGTACTGTTGGTATTGATGATACTGATGGTACTGATGTAATATCAATTACAAGTGCAGAAGAAGCTGTAGAAGGGATGTCAGTTAATTTAAATACTTCGTTAACAACAGATAGTAATATAATAGGAGAACAAAGCGATGTTTCTAAAAGAAAAAGTAGCAAAGAAAACGAGAAACATAACGATAGAAGACAAATATTTCAAAAAATTAGTCAACAAGAATTTGAAGATGTTGTATTCACTCCAGAAAGGAAAATTAAAAAATCACCTAATAGACTAATAAGTAGCAATGGAAATTGTTCATCATTATCTGATATTGATTATGATTTGCCTGCTTTCAACAATGACAAAATAAACGCTAGTAATGCAAAGACGACACATTCTTCTTTATTAACACTTAGTGTTGATGATGATTTTATATTAAAAACTGAAAGAAATCTTGAATCAATTCAGCGTGATGTAGAAAATAAAGAAAAGCTCTTGGCTGATGTGTTAGATTTTGATTTGTCAAAGTATATGACGAATAAACCAATTAGTATTACTCATTTAAATACGTCTCAGTCACTTGAAACAAGTACATATATTGATTGTAAAGTACATTCCAATAATGCTGTTACGGAAGAAAAAAACGAGCAGGATGAATATAATGAACATAGTTATCATTCAGAGACTGAATCTGGAGATGAGGATGTCAGTTATCGTACTGAATTAAAAAAGTTAGAAGATTTAGGTGAATGTAGAAAAAAACTTCTACAAGATAAATTAAACGAACCTTCACAACAAAGTAATTATGTTGATGAAAGAAAAATATTGCATTCAACAGGTATGGATAAATATGAATTAAAAATTCAAAATTTCAAAATAGGTAAAAGAAAGTAACTTTTTCACATTTATTTTCAGTGGCACCAAATGAGTTTATAATATCAACTACACTTGAAGAAGAAGATTGGGTTTTAGTTAAAAATGATACGTCTCTAGTTGCTATATAGAATACAGTTGCAATAAGAAACTACTTTACATAAAAATCACTTCAATTTTCACAAATAATTCCTTTTCCAAGCTTTATGCAGATGTGTCTTCGATTTATTTCTGCACATCCATCCAATGAAATTCTTGCCATAATTAGAGCAAAAGTAATTATATTTGTGTATTTTTATACACAAGATTTAATTAGCCTGTTTATTTTCTAGTCTTATTCTAGTGGAATTTACGTTTTAATTATAAGAAACAAATTTTTAAAATGTCCAGTGCATACGAAGTATTTAGATGAATATGTATAATATATTATACATTTTTTAGTATTGTGATCTATTTTTAATTCCGACTAATTTTGAAAATACAGCAAAAAAATTTGTAGAAACAAGAATCATGATAATCAATTTCTATTCTCTAATATTTATTGTTATATAGTATTATATGTATTATAGTATAAAAACATTCTTTTTTTGTATAATAATCAATGTCATTTACAACATTCTATTTGAAATTTTTATGAAAAACTCTTTTGATTATATTATATTAAAACATAATGTTAATAAAAATTCTTACAAATGTGTAAAATTCCTTATTCATTTTTAAAATGTAGGAACATTTAAAAATTGTACGTTTGTAAACTACTCTGTAAATGCAAATACAGAACATTGTAAGTATATAGAATTAAAAATAAAAATACTTTTTAAATGACACATAAATTATTCTTAACATGAAAGCAAATGTAAATATTATTATATAGTTGTAATAAGAAGTAACATTTTATTTTTTTAACTATCTTTTTTTTACTTATAAAAAAAATGAAGATTATTTATTAAAACGGTTTAATGTAATAAAATAACAAAACTTCTTATTAGGAATAAGTAGATTTGGAATAATTTATTGTTTAATAATATACACAGTACTTATGAATGTGACATCTCTATATATCTTATTTTTGCTTATTTTACTGAATGTTGTAAAAAGTGATTAAACTGTGCTAGTAATAATTTCTGTATATTTCTTGACTTTACTAGATATACTCATGTCAATGTATTTATCACCTACTGATACAATCATACCTCCAATAATGGAAGGGTCAACTTTTGTAGTAAGCACAATGGATTGATCTTTACTCAAAAATCCTTTCAAAGATGCTTGAAGTTTAGATGTCATGTCTCCATCAAGTGGTTTTGCAGTAATTACTTCACAAGAAACTTCACCTCTAGAAGTGCACATTAACATTTTAAATGTATTAATCACATTATTTAGTTGTGCAAGTCGACCATTTTCTGCCATTAAACCCAACAAATTTGCAGTTTCCTTAGATAAACTAACTTTTCCACTAATTGCTTTCAATGCTTCAGATTTATCTTTTCGCTTTATCGATGGATTTTTTATAAATTCCTCTAATTTTTTATCTTTCTTCATGAGATCCTAATATAATATAATAAAGTTATTTTCAATTATGAATTGAAGGTAAAATGTTATATTAATTATACCTACTTGTAATTTAATAAGGTCTTTTTCAACAGTATTTAATGATTTTTGCTTTGATGCAGCTGAATAAAGTGCTGTAGCATATCGTCCGTCTACTCCAAATACTTGAACTGGAGTCTAAAAGAAAAAAGAAAAAAAAGAGAAGAAATGGACAATGAAAGCAGTACTTATTTTACCAAAAATTAAATTAACAAAGGGTACTTAAGAGGTAATATTTATTAAATATTTTAGAAGTAATCCATACGAATGCAATTTTAAATTGATATTAAAACACATGGTTATGGGACATTAATTAGATATATATCTTTTAAAGTTATATAATTTTATATTTACTACATGTTTAAAAAATACCTTAACCATCTGCAGAGAAGTAGAGCCTGTAGAAAGTGATCGCACCTAATAAATAATAAAATTGTTTGTCAATTTTACACAAGATTTTTTGAATTTATAACATCCTTATTTTATCAATTTAATAATTAAATTGACAAAATATTTTATTTTCCATCGATATTATAATTCATTTATATTTTGGTTGAATATTAAGAACTACAATGAATTATCCATTGTAATATTACTCACAATTATTCTGCTGAAAGACATTGTCATGCAGTAAATAGTACGTATCCAAATTTTAGAACGACAAATGAGATGTTATAGGTCCACCATTATGTAATATAACTATTTCGAATAGATATACAACTGAATGTGAAAACACTTCTCACATTAATAGCGACATCTATAGAGGGAGCAGTTTGAAAATAACAAAATTTTATTTAACAAATATAAAGTAATGTAGGTATTTATTTATACTTAATAAACGTATTTTTCCTATATAATTTCAATGATTTTTATCTTTATGTATGTGTTATATTATATGTATTATATATTTAAAGTTTAGATAATTTTTTGTAATTACGCGCTACATATTTTTCTTTGCTACTTACAAGAGGGCAATAGCGTATTGAACTTTGCAGAAAAAGGATCCCAAAAGCAATTTGAACAAAAATTCAAGGTATAAGTAAGTAAAAAGTGCCAGGTTAATTCATTGATTTTAATACTTTATAATATACTTTTTTAATTAGAGTTAAGGTACATATATTGAGCATTTCTTTTATTTTTTTATATTTTCATTTTTTTGTATACGCATCCATAATTATTATTAGGTAATTATTATTAGGTACGGATTAAAGAAAATTGGTGTATGTCAATACAAATATTTAATATGCAGTGATTTATTTATTATTTCTCAAATATGATGTAGTGTACAATGAAACTTTTCGTCGATAAAGAATCGAAAAATTTAATAGTTTCTTCGCACCGCCAAATAAAATAAACACTTAAGGATTGACAAAATGGACAAGATCTGTGTAAATGTACACATCGATAACGTGAACATTAATTTTTATATCTTGCATACAATGTTATACGATATTGCGTTATTTTTTTTCTGTGTATTTTTTTCTTTAAGTTTCTATTTAATCTGTAGTCTGGACATTTAGCTCAATGTAGTGTAGATAGAAAACAGTATGACATATTCAATTCTATTTGCTGTTAAATAAAAAAAATCAATGATTTTTATTGTACGTAAACACTTGATACTTAACGTTTGAACAAGTCCGCCATTAGTAGTGATACAAGAGATGTCGAAGTATCACTAGCGAAAAGAGTCAATTATATTTGATACTGCAAACAATGAAACGATAATAATTAGTATCGTTTATCGATATGTGGTCGTAAAATCAACAATATGTATATACTTTTATATGGATTAATGTAACGTGTATACATATAGATGTATGTATGTATATATAGATTTCACATATATACATATATCTTTTCTCAACATTCATATAATTCATATTTAACATTAAAATGAACCGTGTATAGAACGTATCGCCAATTTGCTATAAAGATGACACAAGTTGAAAGCATGAAGTGTTTCTTCTTTATCAACATAGCAAGTAATAATAACCTTACAATAATAATGAAGGATACAAACATGTCGTAATTTTCAGTTAAAAATGCAATATTTTCGAAGTTTAATATACGATAAACGTCTCGAAGTAGAAATTTTTTTAATTGCGTCACTTTCATTGCATATGAGCGATACGTGGCTCACGTTGGTCCACTATTGGAATAATCAACGTCCAATTCGATTGGCATTTATTTTTCTATTCTCCGAGGTGATGTGTACTAGTTTCTTATACGCTGTTCGATCAGCGATAAATTTGAGCTCGTTCATCACAGTTCGGATTTCGAATAGTAATTAAACGAACAAACGACAACGTCACATCTAATAATGATTGTTTTTACATTGACTTTTCTTCTCTTTAATACTAGGTATCTTGGTTATTGGTGCAGATCGGGCAACGAGAGAAAGTGTAATAAATTCATCGAGGAATCGATCTACGTATCTTCATTGTTTCATGGAACTGATTGGTCGATCACCGATGCGAAACTTCGACGAGATTGCATCGTGAGTTCAATTTCTTAATATATTTAAAGAATTCCGCGATAAATGAAATTCTCTTATAAAAATACGTTCACAGAATATGTTTCTATACTTAGAGATCCGTACTTATGAACTAAATAAAGCTTCGGTATCAGGTTTCTTATCGTCTAATCGACTAGTTGAATATTTCGCTTCGTGATTACGAAACATAGCGAAAATTTCTTTCGGCGTATGATTTATTTTTAAAGTGTGAAACGAAAAATTCGAAATAAAACGAAATCAGTAAAAATTCCACGCGGTGAGATTTCTCCTAATGAAATTTGGCGGGCAAACGTGTTTCATTCGATTAAACATAGTTGGCTCTCGCGGCGCAGCAGAAAAGATTCAAAGCTCCGCGAAAGTAGGACGATTGTCTGGTAGGTCTGTTAGGCCTATCGTGGCTTTGGTTCCATCGATGCATCCGTCTGCCGTTGCTACGGTTTCCCCTACTTCCGGCGTTCTGTAGAGCCGAGTACTTTTCTGTAAATGAAGTGGCATAAGAAATTTTCTTAGCTTTGTAAGCGTTTTAAGCTTTACAAATTAAATCTACAGCCAAGTCAACGGTTCCTCAACGAGCGATTATTATTTAACGAAGGAAGGACTTGAGGGTAATTTTACTTGCCGGAAACTCCAGTGAATACGCTTCTAATTGAAGGAATTCTCCGTACAGTTATTTCCGGAATTAAAGAAAGAAAATAGCACGGCAATCGATAATGAATTTCTTCGTGGAAAGTACCTAAGAAAACGTTTCTCTTTACGTTTCTTCATTGAATTTTCTTTTCTTCACAGCTCGATCGTATCGATTGTCATAAAGTAGGTACAGCTTTTAACAAATCGACATCACGAATCGACATCGATATTTTTCACTATTTCCATTTTTCAAAGGAACTTTTTTTTCCTCAGGGAACCACGAATCGACATCGATATTTTTCACTATTTCCATTTTTCAAAGGAACTTTTTTTTCCTCAGGGTACATCACTTTCCGTAATGAAAGCAGACGAGGACCGATCAAGAAACGAATGCTTATATCTTGGAAACACGTATGTACCTCACAATCCTCAGGAATGAGAATACTTTCTCCAAAAAAAGGAAAAAAAGAAGGAAACGAGAAAAGGAAAACAGAAATGAAAGAAAGAAATTGTCGAACAAATTGTAGCGAAATGTGATGTAAGCCATCTTAGACGGGATATATCGTCGCCATTAGTCCAACAACTTCCGGCAGGCGGTGCCATTTCACGCGATGCCAGGCAATACGGAAAAATCGTACGATCTCGCGTCGTGCTACGATGAAAGGACGACTTAACTCCTCCGTTGCTACGACCGCAATAAATTGCGATGCCTCCTCATCGAGATCTTTTTCGCCTTCGACTTTGCATCATCGTAAAATCACCGGAGATTTCATCAGTTCGAAGAATCTCGGCGATAAAGAACGTTCAATGAATTTATAAGAGAGAAACATCGCGCGAACGCAGCTTTCTATCTGCTATTTGCTTTATCGCAATTCTCGCATTTAGTTTCTACCCGTTTCTTTTCCTCCGTTCGCTAAACTACGAGACTTATTTTCGGTTACCGTGGATCATACATTTATCTCGAGAAATTGGGAACGAATTCCTCGCGGCCTTGACCGCGAGAATTCCGCTCCATAGTTGATGATACGTGACCAACGATACGCGTACGTATTAATTTTACCGCGATGGACAGAGGATCGGGTAGAAGAAAAGAATAAATTCCGGTGATTGCTAGATATCACCATGTGGAAACTAGTTGGAAGGGTTTGCACGACCTTGTTCGGCGAGATTGTTTCGCAAATCGCGGCTCGAATTGCTTTATCGGTTCGCGGTCGAGCATATTTCCCTCTCCACCTTTGATTTTCCCACCCTTTTTCCGCGCCCAGCGAATTCTCGTTTCCGTGGAGAATCGAGGGAACGCAGGAACGGCTTCCACGTTTCCATCTATCCTTGACCCGAGCTCTGTTTAATGTTAAATAATGCTCTCGCGTTCTCCGTAGCTTCTATGTATTTCTGCGTTTTGTGTTACCTGTTTACGTGCTTCAGTGTATTACATTGACCGGGTTCCCAAAGCCTCGAACATCTTTCGGAAATTTTTAAAAGTGGCACGCGTGTCCTGTTTATTCTTTTACTTCTTTTTTCTCTCTTTCTTTTTCCTCCCTTTCGACAGAAGTCCTTCTGTTCGCGTACCTCGACTCGGAAATAAACCGTGCGTTCCTTTTTATTCTCGCTCCGCTTCCTCGTAGCTCGTTCCTCTCGTTTCGCGCCGTTTCCTCGATGCGAATTCTCGCGACACGCCGTGTGCACACCACCACCACCACCACCACTCGACCTGCCCTTTCACGAAATTTTCCCTACGAGTCCGACTATTCCAGTTGTTTCCTTATTTCCCCTCAGCGACCGCGTGCGATCTTCCTCGAGCGTGAATTTCCCGTCCGTGGCACACGGTAAAGGAAGTACGTGTCTCGGTTCGACCTTGACCTGCCACTTGTTCAATGTCAAATCTTCACCACCCACATCCCCCGTCTTTCTGGCCGTATCGTTATTCCCTTGACAAGCAAGCGAAGTTTCGTATTGACGCTTGGAGGATCGAGGATCGCGGTACACGCTGATTTTCCTGCCGTCTCTCTCCGTCTCTTTCGCCCTCGATGGGCCACAAGGGCGCATCCGAATTCGCTCATTATATCGACAGATAATTAAGGTCGCTGCGTACTATCCGGGCTGAGAAGTGAACCGGCACCGCCGCCTGATAACACTGTAGCGAGCTTTATCCTGTCGGAAGGTAATACGTTTGTTCCGTGGAATCAATGGGAACTGGCGAGAGCGACGAGGTAAGACGTAGCCAAAGATGCGGACAGAGAGAAAGGGAGAACCGTGTTCTCCTTTGAAATCCAGACCTTGGCCTCTGGAGTAACCCGATTAGAGACGGTTGAATAGAAAGGCCGGGAGAGAGTAGTAGAATAGGAAGAAGGAAGGGTGGTGAAAGAAAGGTCAACGGAGGAGGAAGAGATATTAGAGTGGTGGATAGAACGTCGAGGCGTTCGTAGAAACGCGTAATCGAATCAACCAACACGGTGCGTTTGCGTTTCGAGGTAAATCGTATAATTGAGTGTCGCGGACGTGCCGTTCGATTCTCCGCCGTTTGCAAAACAGTTTAACCTGCACCGCAAAAAAGCACCCTCTTCGGTCGGCAAGAGCTTTTATCTTTTCCAAAGGCGTCCACGCTGCACGTCCGCTCTTTGATAACTAATAGCGTTTGTAATATCATCCTCGAAGTGTCTGCACATGGTGAATTCGACCACTCGACACGTGAAAAACGAGTCGGAGCGGGGAGGGTTGGTGCAGTGGAATGAAATTTTGCCGACGGGGGTGGACAGAGAGTGGCATACAGGAAATGCGACAGTACCTATATCGCTAGCCGATTGGGGCATAAACTCTTGCAGTTCGTTGATCAAACCTCGAATTTCCTCGGAGTCCTTTTGGATGCTGCATAATTCTTCCTCGTAGAAGTTCGGTGTGATCTGCTTACAGAGGACAATCTGCGAGATCACGTTGCCGATGTTGGATGGGCCGGTTCGGGTTTCTGAAACGACACGAGAAAAAAATGCCGTGCTAGTCGTTACCATGAATTGGCCCCTTGGGAAAAATGTGTATGTCGCGTGTACACTGCCGGCCAAAAATTTACACTCTTCTCCGCTTTCGTTTAAACCGAATTTTTCGTCAATTCCAGCATTAATCTAAGAATTAATGGAAGAATTCTTCGAGATTCGACAGAGTTCTTAGTTGACGTTTTTAATGTTTAAATGTTCGATTTTGAAATTCCGTTTTGAAGTTCCACGGGACGGTTAAGGATGCGAAACTTTTGATCGATAGCGTAAACGTTAAACTTTGCCTTGCCTTAATATTTTCGAGTTTAATACGTGTGGAGGGTAGTATGTACGTATATCGTGTAAATAAATTCACGAGTCGATAGGATTTTTCGTTAGCTGAAATGATTCGCGAAGAAATATAGAAGAGTGTGTAAAATTACCGTAGTATTCCGTCATGTCCATCGGCACGATGCGGATGAGGTTCTTACTTTTGCAGAGCTCGCGTAGGAATAGTTGTATGACGTAAAATAAAAGCATCGAATTCGGACAGTCTACAGGGATCCCGATGTCCGTAGTCCTGAAAGCAAAATCCATTCGTAAACTTATTATTTTTTCATCCTCGAAGTTTCCTCGTTAGGAATTTCGTCGCCAGGCCACTTCCTTTCCCACCAATTATTAGTTTCCTTTCTCTCTATTCTCCGTGGTCTTCGATTTACTTCGTGCCCGAGAATTTTCCGACTTTTCACCTCGTATTCCATCCAGCCGATTATCCGGTTAATCGTAAACGTTCGAAGCACGACTATCGACTAGCCACTGACGATCGATAGAGCAGCGAGACGCTGAAGATCTGTGAATCACGATTGTTCCATAAGAACGAAGCAAAATTTTTTAACACCTCTGTGAAACCCACGATCCCGGTATTATGACGAATGAGAAATACTTAATATCGTTGGCAGAAACACGAAACCCGGTGATTCATTTCGTAACGAGGTTGTTTCGCGTTGGTCTGCGGCCAGCCGCGGAATTTCTTTCTCTCACCGCGAAAAGGGGCGGCGAAGTGCGAGATGCTGGAATTATAACGAAGTGCGTCGGCGTCGCGCGTTAAACGAGTCTGTCCGTGAAGGTTTAAGCAAGTCGACGTCGAGGAAAAGTTTCCTGGCTTTCCTAAATCGCTTAATCGCTGCGACGGAGACCAGAGTGTTGGGCAACGACGAACGACGACGCTTCGGCTGAGACGAAAGCGTCGCGTGACACTTTTATTTGCACTATTTTCGCGAGAAAATTAAAAGGGTAAAGAAGCAGATGGAATCTCACCTGCAGAAATTTACATACGGATCGTCGTGAAATTAAAAAATTTCAAAGTTCTCGCAGAAGCGAGGTATTCGACTCTGCCTCTGTACCTACGAACTTTCGCGGAAATCGTGTGCCGGTAATGCTTTCACCGTTAGTTTTCCGAGTTGCAGATGCTTTCCGCGTATTTCTGGCTCCTAGTCGACAGCTATAATTTCGTTATCGCGAAGATCGAATAAGCCGATCGAAGATCGTCAGCTCGCTACGTTCGCATAGATCACGTCTCGCACGTCGTTCAAACTTGTCCAATTCCCGAGACCCGGTCTGGAAGTAACACTGATCGAGCAACTTTCTTTTGTGCAGGAACCACGATGACGAATCTGCTCACAGTGGAACACGAAACTCGATCTCTGCCTCTCCGCCATCCCATCAGCGATTCGCAAAAATGGATTCTCGCACGGTTATCTGGGAACCCGAATTCGCGAACGACGCGTGATTTGGGTTAAAACGCTTAATTTATACGGAGACTGTGACCCGTTTCGATTGCCGCTATCAAACGGGGTTTTGCATAAGCATTCCGATGGAAAATCGGTCGCCGTCGACGCGTCTGTTCGACGACGGCGTAAAGGGAATGGTTTGCGCTAGGTACAGGTACACACGTACGTGTAGCAATTTTTGCGAAGGTGGAAAAAGGAAAAGGAAAAGGATGGAGAAAAAAATAGGGGAAAAAGGAGAAATGACGAAAAAGAGACGAGCGTTTACGTGTTGTCGTGTGTCGCGTAATCGATACGAGAGTCGCGTGATTTCGTAAGATACGTTGCACGATATTCGCCTATTACAACGCACGGAAGTATCGGGAAAAGCTGTTTGCATGATAAATCATAGGCGGGACCTTCTTAAGTGTTTCGTCGTGCATCGACGATGCTTTCAGGGCAACTTTCATCCTCTACTCGGGACGATTTTTACCTCGATTACACTGCAGTCTCTTTTTCCTATGCTCTGGTCACTGTGCAAGTAGCCTAAGTCACACACGTTTCCTTTTAAACTATTGACCATTCGAACTTTTAACTTTCTTCACCTTTTTCTTCCATAAATTCTTTGCTATCTTAGACGATTCATTTAAAATGTATCACGTTGGATGATTGATCGATAGGATGCAAGTTAGACAATAGTATAATAGGAACTGTACGTAGATATATTTGCAGAGTTTGTAGTTCCACGAGAATGAAATTGGAGTCGAGTCACAAAGAGTTATCGTGTTTGGAATATATTGCAAACCATAAGAATTAATACACAGTGGATCCAACGAGTCGATCCTTTGCTGTCTCGCGAAAAATAGCCTTATTATCGCGATATAAACGAGTATAACGCGAAATAAGCTATAAAATTGTTTCTTTCGGATACTCGACTCATTTTCATAATCACCGTCAATTTAGTAGCATATTTTTCGTATTTCTGCACCTGTATCAAACCCGCGATTATCGCGGCGCCTGTAATCTCCGTGGAACGCTTGTTTAAGCAACACTTAAATAGCAGTTGGCGTGTGTTTGACGTTTAAAACGCAGCAGAAATTACGCAGTAATGTGTTACGTGAATGGAAATGACCGAAGAGGGTGGGTGAATCTTGTGTACACGCAGCGCGCCGCCATAATTAAGCAATTATGTAACTAACAACATGTAACGAATGCATATGCGATATCCGATAATCCGGGCGGAGGTTAGGAATTATCGGAGCTAGGCGAAAATGATCGATTACGAATACGCTTTCACGGGGAATGCCAGTTTCTCCTTAATTAACGAATCCATCGGGCGATAAATCGTGCGTCGCCTCGGCGGAAGAAATTGCGGGGTAGATTCGTTCTCGTGGCGAAAGAAATTTCGTGAAATTTATCGGACGACTGGGAGATTCCGATCGGTCAACCCGTTCTAAATAGTCTAAGACGGGAATTAACGAGACGGCGAGGCGAAAAGGGACTCGTGAAACATTTAACTTTTCATTAAAACGGGCAATCTCGCGGAAAGAAATTGTCCAAAGGTGTCGTCCAAGAATCTTTGGAGACTGGACGTTGGTCACTGGTGCCACCCTCTGTCTCGCCCTTTTTCTCAGGGAAACCAATCCCGTGGAATCGATAACATTCTTTGCCGCACACTTCAAAGTAACACGAACTCTCGTGATGCTATTATTTCATTCTTTCCCTTATCTAGCACACGGTATTCCTCCGTGATGCACGGTTTGATTACGACAACGGAAGGACTGGTAGTAAAACACCGAAATACCAAGGGGTAATTTTTCGTTCCACCCCCCGGTGAAATTAAAAGCGATGCGAATTGCGACAAGATTGTCACGGAAATGGCGAAAACGCGAACGACTCGAGTTTAAAAAATCGTTTAACGTCGCGTCGGAGGAATGTAATTTGGAGAACAAAACGCGACCGTAAAGCTGATAAATTCGCCACCACAATGGCGGCGAACAATAGCTTTTATTTAGGGATTTCCTCGTAAACGATGCATACCCGAGAGTATCGTCGAGGAAAATCTTCGGTTATCTCGCACTGGAAACGGAAACTGGCAATAACGTACGCGTTCACGGTCGCGGCTTGTCGGCCTCTATCATAGCAATCTATTTATCGCGTTAATTGGAATCTCATTAACCGGAAGCAATTCGACTTCGCCCTGCGCGACGTCTTCGTTTAACGCTCGATTCGGAGTAATTGACATAAACCGGTTAATCAATCGTCCAGTTTCCCCTTTCTTTTTCTTCCTCCCGGCTTACGATCTAATTTCTCACCCCTCGCACCTCTGTTAGCTAATTAGCAAGTTTAACAGCTCGTCGACACGGCGATTCTTCTCGGAAAAATCTCGTACGATCCGAAATATCGTGTCAAGGACGTAAATTGTACGATATATTTCCTTTTTCCCTTTTTACTACTCTCTCGTTTATTCGGAGAAAGAAAGAGAGGGAAGAGAATCGTCGAAAAGCTTACCGTACCTTCGGACTTGGGGCAGTACAAAACGGGACGTGTTTTTACACGCTTCTACGCAATTTCGTCGCAATCTCCGAATTTTCTCTCGCAGTTCCGGGCAGTCTCGTGGTTGGCCGATGCTTATCAGCAAATCGCGAAATTGCGCCACTTGGCTGTTGATCTCTTGAATTTGCTGCGAAATAAAAGCGAAACGCGCGATTAACCCCGTTTCCCGGGTGTTTAGCGGAAAGCAAGTGTACCGATCACAATGCGTAGAACGTGCTCGGATATTCGCGAAGCATCGGGAACGAAGCTTTCCGGGATCATAAACCGAGCAATTTGTTACGTGACTGACGATTATTCCGCGATAAACGAAGTAAAACGGTGTTACCGTTTATTCCAAACGATCGTTTTCTCATACTCTCCATGCCAGACGGGTACACAAGCGAGCACACGAACGGGTACACACGAGCAAGTACGCGACGGGGATAGAAAGAATTACTCGTCGATTCTCTAGTCCATACAATGGCACACACGCGATGTCGTAGTAACGAAGATTGTGTTAAATTACCAGAAGAATAGCCTTATCCGTTTTCTCGTTCTTGTCATCTTGGATTTGCGTTTGAACTTGAGATTGGCTCGGGGCACGAGTGTGGGTCTGAACGTTGCTGACCGACGGTATCGGCGATTCCGTCATTATTTCTCTTTAAGAAGTACCGTTTGATTGCCAATTGCGACCAGGCAATTAACAATATTCGCTGAACGGTGTGTGCAAATGCTGCAAGCTGTTTGCTACCGTGAACACCAATGGAACACCGGGAATACCGAGCAAATTTACACTTACGGAAACACCCGTAATCGACGCACGTAACTTGTTCTCGTTTTCTAATTCACTATGATTGCGATTATATGCGTTTTATCAATGATAATGAAGTATCGATGTTAAACCCCCCTGTGTACCGATACCGACGAACGTTGACATTCGACGTTTACGAATGTTTCGTGACAACGTGCCGGTCGTCTCGTGTAAAGAAAGTGAGCTTTGCGTCGACGTACGATCTCATCGGGTTCCCTTTTGTTGCCAAAGGAACATCTCGATCCGACGTCGGTTTTGAGCAAACGATGCTGGAAAACGGGGCATACGAGCGACATTTTACACCGACGACACGATTACCACACGGCAAACGAGATTTTCGTCTTCCATGGCAGAGAGATCTAGGATCTTCTTAGTCCGAGAATATCGAGTAGAATACGGCATTTGCATGATCCGTGTAGCCGAGATGCAACCGCACGAACAGCTGATCGTGAGCTGCGAGCACAATGGCTCTTCGTATTCGGGCCGATTGCGGTCCGCTTTTGTCTCGCTCCCTCGAAAATTATCGAAAATACTGCCTCGTATCGGCCACACTGCACCATAACACGTGCACGACGAGTTGGATCGCGTTGGATCGAACGATCTACGATGAAACGAAGCGGCGACGACGACAACGTTACCGAACGGGAGCGTTACTGCTTGTGACGACGAGGACGAGGCATGATTCGCCAATTAATTGACCGAAGTATTCTCAATATGAACCTGGCAAAAGTGAACGTGCTCCCGTACTTTCGCGAATTCGTACCGGTATCGTGACCCGTGTTCGATCTGGCCCTTGATCCCCTCGGCGACGGCCTCATCTTTCCTCTGTGGAAATTCACGTGAAACGGAACGCATGAGACGCGTTCTCGTGAGACGAAACGACCGCGTTGCACGCGTTTCTTTTCGTCGAAACGATCCACATTATCCGCGACATCGTTTACCGAGCTTCGTGGAACGATATGCGCGCCGTGCCAGCACACGCGACAAACTGAAACGTGGGTTTTGCTCTCGAGCTCTTTCACTGCCGCGATTCTCTCTTAAAGAGCGCATGTCTGACTTGGTCTGTCAGTCTACTACTGTCGTGTACCTATTACACACCTCTCTCTCGCTCTCTTCCTCTCGTTACACGTACGTACATCTGTATCAGCCTGTGTACAACCCACGTATCTATAGTTACATGTCCACGAGTGTGCGTTGCACGAAATTTCAGGATAATTCGCGTAAAATATTTATGCGGCGTGTGAGCAGGTCCCAAACGTCGTTTACGGGGGACGTTACATGATTAATAAGAAGCTCGGTTCCTGTTTCTCCTCGTTACTAAACGCCAGTAGTTCGGTAATGATCAGATCCCTTTGTTCGCCCTGTTTTCCTATGTTCCGTCTTCTCTCCGGCCCGCGGCTGTGCCGTGCATGGAGAAAAATAAATACGATGCACCGGGAAACGATAACGCGATGCAAGAGATTACGTCGTATCTTCGTGTACGGTAAGAAAAGGGCGGAGAGCCGGCTTTTATGGAGGAAGACGGAGACCTTGGTCAAAGAAAAGGCTAATATAGCATCCGTTGTGCTCGAACAAAGTCATAAAATGTAACTGGGAAGACTGTAATAACTGAGAGCTTCGGCCCTTTCGATGCATCTACGCGTCACGTGTATTCTTTGGAGAACTATGAAACTTCGTGCGGATTTACGGTCGCGAAGCTATCGGGCTCCCGCTTTTACCATCCGGTGCACTTTACTCGCACGTTCTCCGCGTTTCAAACGAATTTTTAATTAAAACGAGCTACGAATTGTTCGCTCAAGATTCACTTCTACGCAGGAAGTAATTACCGAGGGAATTCGTATCATTAGCGAGAGGAGTTCCGCGTGCCATAGTGGAGGCAACATAGGAGCATCGAGGCAAACAGAGTTCGTGTGCTGGCAAATGCTGCGCTATTAAAATGTCGTTGTTAACGCCATTTGCGCCGACAACGATATCGCTGAATCCAATAATTTTGCAATTCTTCTATCTTTCGAATTAAATACTGCCCACGTCGTTGTTCGAGCAGTTTGGATTGGCGATCACGTACATGCGATATATGACATACACGATAATCATTACGACGATATAGAAACAGTAGATTAACATAATTTCCGGTTTCGAGATGAACCGTATGTTGTTATCCATTTCGCGTGACAGTTAATTCCTTGGATTTCTATTGGAGTTAGTTTTATTGAAGCAAACGACGAGTATCGAGCGTGATAAACAGATTACGAATGAGAAGTATCGTATGTGGAATGATTTCAGATGAATGTGCAATGTATACCCTGAGTATTTTGATATCTTCGTTTGTCAGACACGACGAATCCACGGGGATTATAAACCTTAGATTGTATATCGATTTATTTTCTTGATAGCGAAAAGCTGAGTCAAAAATCGACTGAAACAGCAAAAACAAAGAGAGGTACTTACAGTTTGTTCTTTATTGTCAGAGAATCGCTCTTCCTGTACAATCTGCGCTAAGATTGAACGAGATAAATTATACATATCGAAAGCTTCGTTTAATTATCGAGAAAAATTTGTACGATTTGCCTCTAGTAGCTTAGTCTCTTCCCAGCTACCCTAATAAGGTATACTACGAAATTTTGCAGTTTCGCTTAATTCAAACAAAGGATCTAATAGAAAAAGTTTGCGCGCATGCTAGGCCAGTCGTTAATCGTATCGCAGTTAAACAAATTTACAGTTTCGTTAATAAAACGTTATACTGCAGAAAGCAGTGCACATGCTCTGCCACGGGTTATTTGTTCAACTCGTTCGGCGCTATACTACTGTGCGCCAGAATCCTTTAATTAGTACACTTGCAACTTTACTCGAATACTTTGCCCTGCTCGAATATCAAAACTTTAATTTGATTTTACAGTAGCGAGATTAGAACGCGAAGTTTACGATACAGATACAAAGATTTTCTCCGTGGAAATATAAGAAGCGAAACTTCCCAACGGGAGTACCTTAGGTCATCGAATTTCCATTTCAGTTCGGTATACGAATACATGCATTTTTAGAAAATACGTCAGTGAAGGTATCGGCAGCCAGACAATGGAATCTTCACGAAATTGTCACGCGGAAGAATAGGAGAAGAGCGCTTTGAACTCTTTCTGGAGGCTCGCTCCTCTCCGGCTGACTTGTTCGGCACTATGCTACTGCGGTTTGTACATTCGTCAGAGATGTACAGATTGTACGAGGGAGCAGAGTCGGTACAATAGAAAAATCCTGAACAACACGACGAGGTACAGAATAAACGTCATGATGAAGTTTCGAAGGACTCAGGCAAATCGACCGGTTCCATGATCCTGTGAACCAACCCCTTAATCCGATTTAGATCTTCCTTTTCAAACGAAGCGAAAGGACGAAGATAAGCCAAGTACCGGCATGAGAGGAAGTGGGAGAATAACGAGTATGGAAGAAAGTGTGAAAACAAGCGAATGTGCGAATAATGTACGACACTATTTATAAGCTTTACGAAGTCTCTGTACGTGTGCTGTAGTGGATCGCGCAACGAATTAGAACGTAGCTGCGATAGACGATATAAGTGAGGTACAGCACTAAGAGGTATATGCTATACATGGTAACTGATAAATATTCACTTGTGACCGTGTCGTTTAAAAAATCGAACACCCTCTGCTCT